GAGAAAGCACACTCTCAAAAAGGTTGTTTGATTTTGGCCACTACTGAGGACATCGACCATCTGCAATCCTCCCACGTTAGTCCCCTTATTTGGTTTTCCAAAAAGATCAATAGAGTGGTTGCAAGCACTTTGGCATCCGAGACTTATGCGTTATCAGGAGCTTTGGATCTACTCAGCTGGACTCGTTTGCACTGGGCATGGATCCTGAACCCATCCTTGGAATGGAAGACTCCTGAAATCACTTTAAAGTCATTGCCCCAAGCGTTTGCCGTGGTAGATTGCAAGAGCCTTTATGATCTGTTACAGAAAACGTCCATTCCTCAGTGCACTGAACATCGCACGGCCCTGGAAGCTTTGGTCATTCGTGACCGTCTCAAAGAGGGAGTTATAATTAAATGGGTGCATAGTGCCGCACAAATGGCTGACAGCCTGACAAAAGACATGGATACCACAGTGCTCCGATCATTCTTGTCCAAGGGTAAATGTATCCTCCATGACATTGACGAGATCCTCAAACAGAGAGCTGATAAGAAAGTTAGACAACAGTGGTACCAACAAAGTAGCCATCATGGGTCAGGTTTGCATGCTTTTGCGTTGATTCTTGGAATGCTGTGCTCTTCTTCATCCGAAGAGGTGTAGAAGTTTTGGCACCCGATGAGTCAATTGCGACTGATCGACATCCAGTATTCCTTTGCAATCCTCACTGCGCGTTCCTCCTACAGAAGAACACCACAAAGAGTTAAACAATGTATAGAATTTTGAGGAGTGTGATTTTGCAGCCAATTTTGCATGTTGGTATATGGTTTTCTGGATGATCACAATGAGTTGTGTCCACATGGAACTTCCAGCGGGTGAACATATATGACTGCTGCAAGAGGTTGCGGCCCGAGACTCCTTCTGTGTAGGGCTAGGGTGCCCCGTGTGACTGTGGTGTGCGTGAGGTGCAGCCATAGAAAAGGAGCTTCCGTGACTCGCTCCGGTGGGCGACAGGTTGTTTGGACCAGGGGTCCCTTTCAGTTCAGTACAATTCATATATATATATATATATCATATATATCATATATTTCGTATATATCATATATATATATACATATATATACATATATATATATGGTATATCATATATATATATATATATATCCCATATATATATATCATATATAATCCCCCTTGCAATTCGGGTCCTCACCCTGGCCCCTGAATCTTTAAGGGACCACTGGTGGCCTCTTAAAGAATGCGAACCAGAGCAATTTTCAGCCTTAAAGAATCTAACCCCAATGAACCAAGATTGCACACAGTAGCCACACATGTCCCATTAAAGGATTGGAGACCCAAGTTGCACACGAAGGGGTGCCCCTTTAAAGGATTGGATACCCAAGTTGCAGTCGAATGGACGACGGCGCAGTCAAGCATCATCAAAAAGATGCGCATGCAATCATATGAGAACATATAGACTTATTTATTTGTGTCCATATTAGGATTATTAGAATTTATTAGGCATCTTTAGGTGAATTTTAAAAGCACATCTTTAACATTCTTCAACTCTGGAAAGTATTTTAACACAAATTCTTGCATTTACAATTCTCCTTGGAATTATCCTGCTCACATGGACTCCAGCATTCTTTAGACAAAAAACGGAGGTCCACCTTGCACTACTGAAATGGCACATCTAAAGAATGCCTACCTAGGATGCAAGGGGGTCTAAGACCATCTAAAAAATCATGGCCCAGGCAACCAACTACAACAAATACAAAAAATACACAAAAAAAAACAAATACAAAAGTAAACCTCTAAAAAACAGGGCGTCCATGTTAGCCATATGGACATCAACAAACATAAAATACACCAAACGTACCCAAATGATTCCTTTGCACACCGGAGATGAAATTTGCCCTTCTTTTGCCCATGCCAGATTACCGGCTTCTGTTTTTGTCATGGCAGAAGCTTCTGCCAAAGCGTTGTCTTTGGCTGCCTCCTCTTGTTTCATTTTTCTGGTTTGATCAAAATTGATTGTAAACAACATATCCCCCTTTGTATTCAGTCTTTGACCCGGGTGTCCGGTTCTTTGGTGGAGGGTGCCATTAAAGAATGAAGTCCTGCCTCCGGACACGGTGAGTTTTGACGGATCTTCTAAATACAACTGGTGTTATGCCTGGGGATCTTGGGGATTTCCTGGGGACGTCTGGATATGAGACCTGGACTGGGTTCGAGCTGGTGTTTTGATTCTTTAGAGGCTCGGGCCTGTCGACCCTACAATTTGGGATATTTTGGGGAGGGTGCCACTAAAGAATCAGGTCCTGCCTCCCGACACAGGGAAGGGTGTCCTTAAAGAATCAGGTCCTGCCAAAACACTGTTTTTTCTGAGCTGGTGTTTTGATTCTTTAGAGGCTCAGGGCGTGTGGACCCTGCAAAACCTGGCAGTTTTTCACAGTTTGGGGTATTTTTTGGGAGGGTGCCATTAAAATTAAGGTCATACCTCCGGACACAGTGGGTTTCGATGGATCTTCTAGAGACAATTGGTGTTATGCCTGGGGATCTTGGGGATTTCCGGGGGCGTCTGGATATGAGACCTGGACTGGGTTCGAGCTGGTGTTTTGATTCTTTAGAGGCTCGGGCCTGTCGACCCTACAATTTGGGATATTTTGGGGAGGGTGCCACTAAAGAATCAGGTCCTGCCTCCCGACACAGGGAAGGGTGTCCTTAAAGAATCAGGTCGTGCCAAAACACTGTTTTTTCTGAGCTGGTGTTTTGATTCTTTAGAGGCTCAGGGCGTGTGGACCCTGCAAAACCTGGCAGTTTTTCACAGTTTGGGGTATTTTTTGGGAGGGTGCCATTAAAATTAAGGTCATACCTCCAGACACAGTGGGTTTCGATGGATCTTCTAGAGACAATTGGTGTTATGCCTGGGGATCTTGGGGATTTCCGGGGGCGTCTGGATATGAGAACTGGACTGGGTTCGAGCTGGTGTCTGATTCTTTAGAGCTATACCCTGCAAAACGATAAACATATTTATTTGTATAAATCAATATATGTAATTTGCTGCTTTTATCATATCTAGTGTCAGTTTGGTTGCGTTTATTGAGCCATGTTTTGGCCAGCACTTTAAACATTGACAAACTCAACTTAGGGTTCCAAATTAAATCTCTAAAGAATCAAGGGGGAACTGATAACCCGGGTTGACTTCTGTTTTAGCCAGGGAAAATTCCAAGAGGGATAACACCATATGATTTTCAAACGCTCTGTTTTCAAACGCTCATAAAAGTGCAATAGTCCGGCATCCCTGAAGAATGTCCTTGTTGAAAAAACAATTGAAATGTGATGTCAATGTTGAAACTTGTTTGGCTCATCTGCGATACAAACGATGGCCGGCGCACAACAGCAGCTTTAGCAAATCGCAAAAATTCAAAGAGCTTGTCTATTGCCCCTCAAAATGCTCTCTCTAAAAAATCATGACCTAGGAAGCCTTTGCAAAAAATGGGGACTCCGGGCTAGCCATGTGGAAAAATCACCTGTTTTTGCATTAAAAAAACATTTTTTGCGACAACCCGGGCTGTTGCATTTTTTAGTGGAAATTCCAAGGGGGATCATTTACATGCATTCACTCATCACGTTTTCATCTTCCATCTCACCTTCACGTCTTCTGCTTGTGAGCATCTGTTCAAGCGGCAGGCAAGCTGGTTTTCATTTGACACACAATCCCAAAAACATTGATGAACATATCTAAAAAATCCAAAAAACAAGTTCCTAGAATCTTCCTAGGAAGGCCTCTTAAAGAATAGGAGACCGTCAAAACAACAGTATACATCTTAAAAAATGAAACTGGTTTTTTTTGCCGGCCAAACTGTCCTTTAAAAAATACAGTTGTTTAAAGACATCATGTCCTCAAGTCTTTAGGCTAAATTCCCAGGAGGATCATATATATATATATATATATGAGCCCGGTCCCCGGACCCCACCACCCCCCCCCCCCCCCCCCCCCAATGGTATCCCCCCCCCCACTCCTAACCCCCCCCACCCCCCCAAAACCTAGTATTTGCATGTTATTTGCACATATACATACACATATACACATATATACTCCCCTTTCCACCCCTCCAACCTCGCATCTCTACGTTATTTGCAGCACTTGAGAGCCACGACCTCGTCAACGGACCTTGTCTCCCTGTATATTTCTATCATAACCTTTTTTTCGAACCGCCTATAGCGTGCCTCGCACATGGTTTACAACATATTTGCTACCTATGGATTACGCAAAGCTTACCTATGCAAACCTAGACATATGTACAGTAGAAAAACAACAAATACATATATATATGTGCACATTCTAGATACTACAGATTGATATCTTGATCTTGTATCTATCACATATTTCGTTTACATTGTACATACTGTACACGTATATATATATATGCATATATACATATATATATACATAAACTCTAGATATACAGCGTGTATTGCTGTCGATATTCAATATACCACATATACTATGTAAAATCTATTCAACGAACATATTTACCTATATTGTATATATTACATCTACTGTGGATACAGTACATGTGGCATATACTATCTATATTCTATCAAAAACAACATATACGATGTGTATATATATGTCAAATATATATATTATAAATATATATATATAAAGATTGCATATATTCTATTTATATCTTACATATTATATATATATATACGCTACACATACACTCTATATTACATATAGTATATCCATTCTAATTATCGATACATATGCATTATATGCACTATAAAGACTACATACACCATGGCTTGGCTGCTGAGAAAACCCCCCTCCCCTGCCACAGGGGGGGGGAACCATCTGGCTGGGTGGGGGGGGGTGTGGGGGTCCCTGCTCATATATATATATGTATGTATGGACCCGGGAACTCCAAGAATGTAACAGAAAACCTGCACAAAGAAAATCATCGGTCGATGGTCAATCAACGGTATGCATGAGTTAAAAGAAGCTGCCAAGCATCCAGTTATACCCGTCAGCGTCGAGCGGATTCCCTCAGGACGAATCCTTACAGAGACCGTTATCGATGGAAATTGATGGCTGGAATTTGCAGGACCGATTCATGGATCGGCCAAGACGGGAAAATGCTGGACATGGCCGGAAGAGTTGACTCTCCAGTATCAGACAGATCAGACAGATCAGACAGATCAAACAAATCAGACAGTAGATGTTTGCTGAATATGGTTGAACCATGTTGAATCATGTTGAACCGGTCAGCACACGGCATGCAATGGCTATTGCCAAAAACGACAATGAAACCAGCTGAGATATCTCAGAAGCCGACCAAAGTTCGCATCGGCCGGCCACATGATGCTCCAGGCCTTTACACTCTGTAAGCACCACACACTCGGCCTGCAAAACAACGAGCAAAGCCATGCTTCCATCGACTGTGATGTTTTGCACCTTTTCACTGTGCATGGTTTCACATCCCAGCCTGGCACTGTTCCAGAGTAAAAGAACCACTCTGCACGACAAAGTACTCAGGCTTGTTATCACCTGCGGCGCAGCGGTCGTGACAAAAATGCTGTGCTATGTTTTTAGCAGGATGCATATTTAAAAGAACATGCAGAGTCTGAGTCATAGTCTGGCAGTGCAAAGCTGGCAAAGCAACCACTGAACGCCTGGTCCATCACCTCTACAAACCTGTTCACTGCCATCCCCAGTCAGTGGTCTGAACAAGGCCTAAGGCAAGCCATCAAAATCAAACTTCAGACAACTCCAAATAGATCATGCGGAAAGACTTGGCGTTGGCATGCTTCCACACGTCTCAACTTGTGCAAGATTCAAGTTGAAATCAATCCAAACTGACAAGTTTCTGAATTAACAGTTGTTGTTGTCGATGTGGTTGATGGAGCCTCAAGCAAAGCTTCAGAAGCTGCCGATTGACACTAATCAGATCTAATCAGTCCAGCTGAAGCTCGCTGTGGCACTGGGGCGTCGACGAGATATTTCAAACAAATGTAGCCATCGGCAGGTTTGGTGACCTCAATCCCCTCTGGGCGCGTCCAAACTTCGCATCTGCTGCCTCCTTCAAAGCCAAACAATCAAAGGATGACAGGCCAAGTTCGCAGTTGAATGCCGTTGTGCCTTGCTGTCTGCTGTGCATGCTGTCTGTGTTTGATCCTGACATGCCCTGACCTGTTCGTTGCAATCTGCAGCAAGCACTACAAAGCTGCAAAACATTTCAAAATACTTCAAGTATAGTCAAGGGCCAAAACCCGTTCAAAGTTCCTTCGTTGTATTCAATGCCAACGCAGCTGCCATGGCTAGCACACAGCTGCTTGCATTCGCCAAGGGATGTCACACCAGAATTGACTGTAAAGTACCTCAGCACGGCATTGGTATCCAATACATTCCAATACAACATCAAATGTATGGTGAGCTTTGGTGAGCTCTTTCAGCGCAGTGTAGTCAAAAACAAACAAATACAAACAGTAAACATTCTTCGGGCTACGATGGATTGTTGTCATAGGTCGTCTCACCACGACACACCTGATTTGTGCCATCATCGGTAATCGGTGCAAAGCCCGCAGTGCTATCTGTTGCAGTTGTTGTCCCTGTAGTGGTTGTGGTGGTGGTAGTAGTCGTTGTCGTAGTTGTGGTCGTGGTGGTTGTCGTTGTCGTTGTCGTTGTCGTTGTCGTTGTCGTTGTCGTTGTCGTTGTCGTTGTCGTTGTCGTTGTCGTTGTCGTGGTGGTTGTGGTGGTTGTGGTGGTTGTAGTGGAATCCTTTGATTTACATTGATATACGTCCAAGATCTGCAGGATGTCACCTGCTGAAGATTGAAACAGGCGCAGGCATGTGAAATGAAGGCTAGGAAAGTGCGGAAGTCGATGTCAGCTGCCTACTATCTGCCTACTTCTACACACGTTCGATCCAAAACATGTTAAAACATCTTCAAACCAGCATCAGAGTTTATGATGTTTTGTTTATATGTTTATGATTTGTTTTGTCGGGCCGTCGGGCCTGTGGACAAGTAGCTTCGCTGGCCAACCAGAGACTCTTGGCTGGACGGAATTGTATCAAAGGCCGAGCCGCCCCCGTAATGCATGATACCTTGGGATGCGATGGGATACGGGCTGTGGATGGCTGTGGCCAAAAGATGCCAACAGTCGCGACTGCAAGAGGTCATGCCGAGACCTTGATTTCGCTTTCGAACTTCAAGAAAACATCAGACAACAAAGAGCCAGTTGCGCCTTTGATTGTGTTCGTGTTCGATTTCACAAAAAGAGGCAAATCTCCTTCAGCTGGTAATTAAAAGATACTAAAAGAATGGCCACTGACCCCCTCGCAAATGCGTCACGGCTGCTTTCAAAGTCGTACGGTGCATAGCCCACCTGCAAGTTTACAAAGCTGGAGAGGCCCCTGCCGCACCCTAATCGGTTCGTTTAGACAGTTCAGACAGTTCAGACTGTTCAAACTTCACACATTGGCCAGGAGCATCCAGGAGCCTGCGGGTCGCCAGAGCCATCGTTTTTGGAACCCGTATAAACATCTTCCTCAGGAAGATATTGCGATTGCCAGTTGCTGGCAATGTTATCCTTAGTAACTTGGCAGCTTGTACCGTAACTTGTACCCTACACAAATGAGGGACCAATGCGCTTCCAAATGGCAAGAACTGTTGAAGTTCCAAGCTTCCCAGAAAACTTCCAAATGGGGTCCTTTACCTGAGATGAGCGACGGTTCAGCCTTCGAATTAATTTGAAGCCTTTCGCAGATGATCAACAAAATGCTTCATTCATAAAAAAGAAAGCGCATATTGGAGTCCAAACAAGATGCTGTCACACACTCACATGAACTTCGATATCTTTGGTTCCAGCTTGTCTGTCTGGTCGCGTTTTGTCTCGCTATCTATGCTATCTTGTCAAGAGGCCATAGAAAACATCTGGCCCATCGGGTCTCTGCTGCTCGTGGCTCATTCCCAAAATGTGGCCAAGTTCATGAGCCATATTTCCAACCTCGGAAAACATGCTTCCAGCATGTTCCAACAGCATGTTCCACCTGTTCCAACGGCTTTCTAAAACATATTGCCAAAATGTGTGATCATATCCAATGCATATTCTCGGAACCGATGTCACAACATTCCCCGTCTTGCAAAATCAAGGGAAATGAAAAGCACAGGATACCGGTACAGATCAGTACAAAGCATCTGAAGGAGCTAAAATCATCAAAAATCCAATACTTGCGTAGATCCCAGGTGATCCAAATAGAGCATCTGGCAAGAGCACGGCAAGAGACATGAAGGTCGTCGTTACACCAGCCCAAGTTGACTCGCATGTAGGAGGAGAAGGAGTAGTACCTTGAGATTCTTGCACAAGGTCGCACGAACATACATTTTGCAATAGAGGTGTGCACAACCCATCCTTCGGAGCATCGAAAGATGAGAGATGCTCTGCTGTTTTCGTTGAATGGAGCAACAATGTTTTTGTTTTTTTTCACCGTGCAAACTGCACAAGTCTGCGCACAGAACCTTAGCCCTTGAACTTGTGAAAAATATGAACAGACGTAGAGAGGTAATCGGCTGAGGAGAAATGAATTAAGATTGTGTGAACATCTTTGAAATTTTCAACGCCTTTCACATAGCCAGCATTCGCCTTCGCGTAGTCATTCTGTATGAAGTTGAGGGGAACGGAAAGGAAATGTATATATATATATTTATATTTGGCGCAGCAGAATCAGGAACCATTGTCTCAGCAATAAAAGATCAAAAAAATATTTCTTTAAAAAAAATGAAGGTAAACAAAATATATTTTAGCTAGTGAACTGCTTAAGGAACAAACAAGCCAATCAACCTATACAGTAACATTCACCCTGACCTGAGTCAGGATGTGCATTCGGTGACGAAATTCGGTGACGAAATTCGATGATGAAAATTCAGTGACGAAAATCCGTGACAAAAATTCAGCGAGATCTTCGATTGCTGGGCACGTATGATGCTAGTTTCGGTACATTAATCATCAGGCAAAGATGCTCTGCCTATTGAGTGCGTTTGTGATTACAAAGCTTTGGCGCTCTCGGTTGTTGTAGTCATATTCTTCATTGCATCCTATTATCCCAAAAGCATCTTTGAAGGATTGTAGTAGCCAGGAAGTTCGAGGTTTTCCGGGTCTTCGATGTTCTATGCGGTGCGTGTAGGAATTGTATTCAAACAGCACGTGTCGCAACGGATCGTCTGGGTTTGTTCTCAAAATGTGGCCAAAAAGTTTCAACTTACGCTTTAACCATGTACTGGAGAAGAGTTCAACTTCAGAGTCAAAATTGCTTTTGAGAGTTTCAAAGACATTCTGATTCGTGTATGCACGGTCAATAAATGTGGGCGGAATCTTGAGAATTCGTCGCAAACTTCATTTGAAAAGCATTGATTTCATCCTTATCTGAGGTTGTGAGTTCTATATAATACTTTGCTTTTCAAGATTGAATCAAAAATACGGATTTTCCACTTGATGGTGGTACGAGCTTTGTCCCAAAACACTTTCAACCTATTACATTGGTTATTTGCACTATCTGAAAGCAGTGTTCCCAAATATATTGCTTCATGTTTTCGGGGGACGGGCGTTCCATCCAGATATTTGACGCTAGATTGTTTCTGGTGGAGTGTAAGGTTAATGCATTTGTCATAGTTCAAAGATTGTAGGATGAGGATTCCCGCTGTATTGCGTGCAAAATTTATTGACTGATTGGGTATGTGTCTCAAAAATCAAAGTATCATCTGCATAGAGAACTTCTGCATATCGTATGCCTTTAATGGGTTCCACTTGCTTTGGTATGTTCAGTTTGGATTTGGGATCTTGAAAGAGGGCCCGGATAAGAAGTATAAATAGGAATGGTGATAGGGGGCATCCTTGGCGGATGCCTGACTCTTGTCTTCTGTACCTGATTCCTTCAGTTGTAATTTTAACTTTTGGGTGATCGTACATGTGAGTTACTAGTCGTAACATGTTTGGGGGTGTCTTAAGGCACCTCAAAACTTGCAACAGTTTAGATTGATTAATTTTATCAAAAGCTTTCTCCCAATCTAAAAGTACCAAAGTCACATTCGATTGTTGTCGTTCGGCCGTTCGGCTATGTCCAAGAGCCGTCTTGCTACAAAAATGGCTTGCCATGCTGATTTCTTGGGTCTAAAACCAAATTGAGGATTTTGAATCCAGGGGTCACATGCGCAGTGGAATCGATTACGGACTAATCTAGCAAGGATCTTGTAGAAAACCTGAAGTGGGGCTATGGGCCTGTAATTTTTCATTTGAGTGGCATCCCCTTTCTTAGACAGAGCAGCAATGTTGGCCAATGTGAAACATTCAGGGTAAATGCCGTTGATATGAATATCACTAAAAAGTTCCAACATATACAGTCTGTTTATTCCGGAAAGCCATTTGGCTAGTTCTGGCCTACAACCGTCTGGACCAGATAACAATGTTTTTGCTAAAGAGAGAAAATGGTTCAGCTGAAATGCTAATGTGTTCAAGTTATGTCCAACTTACTGTCCAGAAGTGAGTTATCACTCTAAGCCAAAGTGCATCTCCATGAAAAATCATCATAACATTCAGAAACACTGCTTGAATATGAAAGCAACAAATGAGGGAGTAGAAACAAGGCTGCCACGGCTTAAACCCACGGCTCGTTTCAGACCAGTTCCTCTGTGTTTGCCCAGTTTGGCTAGTAAATCAATTGAAATCTACCCTCTGGTAATTTAACGTAGCTATTGAAAATGGCCCATTTATAGTGGATTTTCCCATTAAAAATGGTGATTTTCCATAGTTATGTTAGTTACCAGAGGGTAGAGCACCCGAGAGTGCCAAGAGAGCGCCCATGATCCGACAGCGGTTTTTCATGGTTGCCATGATCATCACATTGCCAATAAGCTGCCCTAAGCTCGCGTAGCAGCTGCCAGTGTCCCAAACTCCAACCAGAACGTATGGCCTCAACTGGAAGGGCTCAGAGTACTGGTATCTCAGAGTGGCTCACATTCCGTGGTCTTTAAATATGTTTAAATAATGTTTAAATGTCTTTCAGATTCTTTAGGCCACTTTAGGCACCAAAGATATCCAAAGATCAAGTCATCTAAACATCTCTGCTTCATGAATTGTTCAATGCGCCTTGAGGGGTTCTCTTCTTCGACAAAGTTGACGCACGTGGTATCCTCAGGGCAACGACAAATCGGCAAAACATGGCAAGACGTGCTGAAAAAAAACTGAAGTCTACCGAGTCTACCGAGTCTAGCGAATTGCGTCCATAAAGTCTTGAGTGTATAATAATGTATATACATTGCGGATGTTACTTCTTTCTCTTCTGCTTGTTGGAACGCACATGTAAATCAAACTAGAATTTCAATAAAATTAAAGCATCATAAAAACATATAAAACCACGAGGAACTACCAACAGGTTTGGAATGGGGCTGGAAAACAAAAGCGTGGCAAGCGAAATATGGAGGTGTCCATGGATTTCCAATCATTTTCCTGTTTATTCAAGCTGCTCTCCACATCTCGACTGCCTGTCGAAAGGCATTCTTCCTGTTATTGTCATCCGCTAAGCTTTCGTTGAAGGTGTACTTGATCACAACCTTGGGAAACTGAAAAAAAACTTCCACAATTATACAAGGCTGACGCCGCGGATTGCAATTACTGCAATTGCTCCCTAATTCTAGCCAGTGCTACTTTGCCTGTGTAGTGACCTTGCTTTTAGACAAGAGTAGCTATATAAATTAATCACCTATTAGTATCAAAAGCCAAGGCTCATATTCTTGCCAAACATCTTCAGCATTTCCAGGAGGATCACTCCTGCAACTGAAGCAACGAACCAGTTATACAGGGACATTTGATCATTGAAGATGCTAAAGTTGAAACACTAAACCAATCTGAAATATCTTTGAGAAACAGTCCGTCAGAATGTGTAAAACAAATATAAACAAATGGCATCATTTGACAAAACCATTTCTTTTCAGCCTGACCTCCTGTCTGGCCAACGTGTACCAGAGTTGCTCTGTGGCCCAGAGCGGCCCCATCCAATACCATCCGGTGGACCTGACAGCTGATCAGGACCGACCAGGACCGACCAGGACAAGGTGACGGTGACTGTCTGAAGTCGAGTCGTCTGTCTACTGGCACTGTCATGATTCACTAAGTTAGTGCTTACCTGCTTAACCCTTGTAAAATTGTGGATCGAACTCAAACTGCTCAACGAGAGTCCTAAAAGCAAACCAGCCAAACGCCTTTGAACCTATGAGTTCCCGGCATTTTGTGATTACGTGTAAGACTTATTACCTATGTGAGACAGTGCAGCGACCTGAAGCTGTAGTGGAGGTTGTTGGAGGCCCTGTATAGGTTGTTGTAGTCGTTGTAGTGGTAGTGGTAGTGGAAAACTCGCCACAGAAGGTGCCGCCAAAAGCTTGACAGTTTTCCGGGGTAGTCACGCTATTGATTTTGAAGCAAGCGCAAAATCCACCTGCAAACACAGCACGATGTGGCATGTTGTTGCTAGTGACATCATGTGTGCTCACCAGGTCCCTTCTGCAGTTTTCTCACCTGTAACTGTAAGAGTAACATGAAGGCAAAAAACAGGGAAGTTAACTCTGCGAAAAGGAATGAAATGCTGTGTTTCTCCCATGATAACCCAAAGCGCCAGACCAGCCTGTTTGGTAGTAAGCATAGCAGGGGTAGTCAGGATTGCTACAAGGGCAAACCCCGTTGACCGGACCTAAGAATTGCTCTGAAACAGCTGTTTCCAGTCGAAATCTCAGGTGCAGGAAAGAAAATCACAGCTGTCAAAGCAAGGTTAAACACGCGGTCCATAAATTAATGCATGCACATACTTGTATAATGTATATCAAAATACCAGTAGTACGCGCACGAGGCGGGGCAGAAGTTGCCTTAGGGTCATACTATAAGGCCTTTCTCATCTATAGAACTTGCATGCGCCGTACGCCAGCCAGGCCCGTGCGCGCGTGCTTCGTGCGAAGCTGTTGCAAGGTTGTTGTCCAAGAACATGACCAGCGCGGGACCCCGGCGCAATGCAACGAAAAGCGGACACTTTCTTCACACTTCACACTGCGCTCTTCACACCTCGCGCTTCACACTTCACACATGCACTTCACACTCCACACTTCATCTCATCTCAAATCATGTGAGCTCTTCTCACATCATCTCACCTCATCTCAGCTCTTCTCATCTCGCCCCATCTCTTCTCACATGTCATCTAAGTAAGTTCTTCTTAACCGCTTTCATCTCATCCGGGCACTGACCAACCTTTCTCATCTCCCCGAAGTTCTTCTCAACTCATCTCAGCTCTTCTGCGCGCGAGAAAGATCGTACTGTCAAAGAGAAGTCTCTTGAACAAAAAACCCATTGGGCGCAGAAAGCTTTTGCACAAAGAAGCTTGAGACACAGGTGCATTTACACACAAAAGTCTTTCAAACATACTTGTACGACAAAGCTTGCACAAAGCACTTCCCAGTACTACTTTGTACACTCTGTACTTCCCAGTACTACTGTGTACTACAAAGCTTGCACAAAGCACTTCCCAGTACTACTGTGTACTACAAAGCTTGCAGAAAGCACTTCCCAGTACTACTTTGTACTACAAAGCTTGCACAAAGCACTTCCCAGTACCACTTTGTACTACAAAGCTTGCACAAAGCACTTCCTAGTACTACTTTGTACTACAAAGCTTGCACAAAGCACTTCCCAGTTCTACTTTGCACTACACAGCTTGCACAAACTACTTCCCAGTACTACTTTGTACTACAAAGCTTGCACATGTCAACAGACCATGACAACAATCATGCGGCCATTACACTGCTATCTGCGGCCAAAGATTCGGCAAGCGCAGGGATCTACGCACAACCACTCATTGCAGAACACAGAGGAGGAACCGATTGCCCATCGTCACGATCGGACCCGCAAAGGCCGCACGCACGAGCTGCCCATCATCGCTGGCTGCATCCACTTTACACTGAAAACACAAGGTGTCGTTCTCTGGCTTTCTCCCCAACACGAGTCCCATGCAACATCCACGCAACCACACTAGAATGCATTTTGCAGCACCGGGTTGCAAACCCGCATGTATATACGCACATGGCAACAAAACATGGCAACAAAACATGCCAACAATCATGCAGCCATTACAATGCGATCTGCAACCACAGATTCCAAAACACCCTAGCACTACGCACACACGACGAACCAAGCATTGCAAAACACCATCAAGGAACCAATCACACACCAAAACAAACGGACTGCACGCCGCGCACACGAGGTACCTTTCATCGCCGGCCGAAGCGACTCTACACGGAAAAACACTTCGTGCTCCGGCATCCTCCCCAAACCAAAGCCCCATGCAACATGCATACAGCCATTACCTTGTGTTTTGCAGCAACTAGGATACATCCATGCAGCCATTGCAATGCGATCTAGAACCACAGATTCCAAAACACCCTCGCACTACGCGCACACGACGAACCAAGCATTGCAAAACACCATCAAGGAACCAATCACACACCAAAAGGAACGGGCCGCACCCGCCGGGCACACGAGGTACCTTTCATCGCCGGCCGAAGCCACTTCACACGGAAAAACACAAGGTTTCGTGCTCCGGCTTCCTCCCAAAAAAAACATGCGACATGAATGCAGCCATTACAATGCGTTTTGCAGCACTACGCGCACATTCATGCAGCCATGACTTAGTCACCACACCACTTCCCAAAGTCACCATTTCCCTAGGTCAACACTTCCCTCAGTCGCCACTTCCCAAAGTCACCGCATTCCCTTCGTCACCACTTCCCTTCGTCTCCACTTCCCTAGGTCATCACTTCCACAAGTCCCCACACCACCCTGCGTGGATGTATTGTTTTGTGACGTAATGTATCACAATTCTATTTGTCCGTAACTCGGAAGATTGCTTCCCAACTTCCTTTGACTATGTGTATATGCATGTATGTGTATAACGCAATGCAATGGAATGTAATGTAATGTAATGTAGTGTAGTGTAATGTAGCGTAGTGTAGTGTGATATAATTATGTATACGTACATATAGCGTATTCGTCGCTATTCATATCATATGTAGTCACATTTCATCACATGTCTCCAAGTGGCACTGATTTCGATGGCTTTGGCTCTGCACCAACATTGGCGGCGGCTCCGGCTCCGATACTTCCACTTCTGCTGGATCCACCTCAACCTGCCATCTTGCAACGATGTGGCGGTGTGGCACAGCCTGTGAACATCACAAAAAAAAAATGCGCAAACATCGCAGCTTCGAAGGCTTTCAGAGATGTATCTGATTCAAGAATATTCAAGACATATAAGTCCTGTATAAGAGTCCTGTAAGTCCGACATGTTCCACTAAGCCTCGAAGAATCCAGAAGATTCAAAGTCCATCTAAGAATCTTGCTAGATCTGGCTAGAGTGTTGGATGACAGAATGACACAGGCCACAAACGCCACACAGGCCAAAGCTGGTGTGTCACAAGGTGCAATGTTTGCCTGGTCAATCTTGATGACATCCTCTTCTTCTTCAGCAGTCATCAGTTGCCCTTTGGCTATGGAGTCAATGTAGGCAACATCTTCCTGTATTGAGATGAGAATTGGCGAGAATTGACCAAGCAGACTTTGCCTCAAACTTCGATTTGCATTTGTGAAACAGAGAGCTACGATTTTCTGGGATATGTATATATATACATATATGTGTGTGTGAAAATATCTACATATATGTACTATCTAATACATTCATACACATTCCACTGGAAATTCACACACTATGAATCAGCGGATTCAAAATGGTTCATAGTTTGCAGAAGCCAGATCAGAAGGATCAACAAGCATTGGGATCCATTGCGTCCATTTCAGTTTTTTTTCAGAGGTGAAGAAGGCCTCTGCCATAGAGACCAAAGGTGTTGGCAAAGCTCCACCGGCCTTGTTTGATGTCACTGCAACAACTCAGATATGACTTGATGGCCTGTTGATGTTTGCTGATTTCATTGCTTTCAGGAACTCATTACATGGCACTCGCTGGTTGCTGCGCCTCAAAGTGCCCCGTGTATCTGTAAGCGCGGAGAGTGGACTGGTCAGTGCACTTCTGCAGCTCAGACCATTCCAAGCTAAGACCTGCGCGATCAACTGTAGCTGAACCGTTTCAAGCGAAGAAACATTTTGGCAAAGTGAGACTAGAGGTTAGGAGCGTGCTATGCTGCGGCACGAATCTACAACTATCATAACTATCTCTGAGCATCTGCAAACTATGTCACACTGCACAACGATCATCTAAGAATCCTTGCTCCGGAAATATCTCCTATTGCCATGCCTGCCCGTGGTGGGGCCCAGTGCCAAATTTGACGATTCAGAGCGGAGGCGCCACAGCGGCACTCTAGGCTCACGAGGCCAAACAAATCCAGGCCTTGCACAATGAAAGGGCCCCACGTGAGACGATGTGAGACCTATGTTAGATGCCCTATGACATGTATATATAATATATTACATATATCTGGGTAAATTATAATATTTCACTAACCTGAATTAAGGCCATTTTGGGGATGATTTCCCTTATAAGCCATGATTCCAGTGAGGTCGCAGTGAGGTCGTTATAATTTACCCAGATATATTATACATCATATCATAGTATCTGTATAACATCTTTGTGTTGCAAACATTTTGTGTGTTGTGTCCCGTGCAAAACGTTAGAGCCAGCATGATCAAGCGAGACATGCTGAGGCAACGCAGTTCGCAAGAGTGCTTGAAAGTCTTCAAACTGTCCTCATCAGCTCTTCCAGCCTCTCTCAGTGCAGAAGCGGAAGCACATCAGCGGCGCAATTGCCTCGCAAGGATAGACTTTCAAGGCAAGTTCCACGCTGCAACATGAACCGGTGATAAATTTGGGCGGGTCAAATATTGCCAACTTCTTAATCTAGCAATCTACTCCAACGATGCCGGATAAGTAGACAGAGATCTGAAGCTAAAACCCTTTGCTCAAGACTCCAGGTGCAGCAAGTCGCCATCTCCGAGGAAGTCCACCGGTAGAAGGGCAGCCCCAATCGGCATGTTTCCTCATCCTTCCACCCAATGCAAGCTTCATCCCGAAGAGTCTTCACCTACAAAACAGCTCCACCAAGCCGAATCCAACATGAAGGTCTCTTTAAACGTTGAGGCTTGAGAAATGAATGATCGGCTGCAATATCCAAAGCTCAATTCACTGGCAAGGCAAACTCGGCGATTTTGCGATTTAGCGATCGAAATTTTAGTGGCCTCCCCTGCTGGTTTGTCAGTGCTGTCAATGCAGCCAAGCAAGGTGAATCGCACGTCGCGGCCTTGAAACGCATGCTAAGGACGGTGGGTAGAAAATGTCTGTTGGTGAGAATGGAGGGGTGTAGGGGTGTAGGGTCAGTCAAGAACGCAGGCAGCAGTTGCACAAAACAGGATTTAAGAAAAGAAGAAACATTGATCTATTTTACATTATTTTACCATGGCGTTGCTTTACCAAGCTTTGCTCAACCAGCACTTTGCCCGTCATGAGAACCGACTCAGTCAGAGGACTTCCGCTGGCAACAGCGCCAAGCTCTGAATGGAGCTCTCGAAGTTGCTGCTTCGCTGTGCCTCACATAGAATAGCGATGTAAAACAATGTAAAACGATGTACGATGATTTCAAAATGTATTTCAATTTGTTCAACTTGAGGCCCAGGGGTAAGGGACGAGAGCTAGCTTGGCAGGGAGCTTGGCAGGGAGCTTGGCATGAAAACACACTCATCCTGAGGATTCGGATGCTGCCGAATTTGCTGCCAGTGGCAACATGCCGACGGTGTCCCCAGGGGGGATTTAGCCACGGCCAAACTGCTTGTGAACCAGCCAGCCGACGGTTGGGTGTAGTTAACTGTGAAGTTTCACGCGATTGGAGATTTCAGCCTCCCAATACCTTGCTAAAGCAAGAGGAACTTCAGCTACGAGTACGGGACCCAGTAGCAGAAGCTAGCTTTCATGACAAAAATATAGAATGCAGGTGTTGTCACGGCTTGCATCACATCGCCTAAGCATGCCCAAGCGTCCAAACAAATAAACATAGAGAACCTGGTCAAAAGATTCCATGCTATGCCGGAATTAGTTTTCTTCCGAAGGAATACATAACACTAAGTCTCCAGTGCTTTTCTGCATGCTTTTTGCGTGTAGCTCACGGTGCTGACTACCAAAGCAAAGACAGACCTTACACTATGGTGGCCAATCTTGGCCTGGAAGTTCGTGACAAACCACCACTCCACAGTCACAACGGTGCCACTGACGTGGTCGTTGCAGGCCTGTCCAAAATCACGGTGTGCAGCCTTTGAAATGGGAACTTGCTGACAGTGCTGGCATGTGTAAAGTAATTCAGAAGTTCAGCGGGAGCCAGGAACTCCTACTATCTCTGCTATCAGATGCTAATAGCATCAAATTACTTAAAATTCTACTCACCACAGCGGTGCAAATCAGCTCCTCTGTGCCAAGCTGTCACAGGCTTGCGCTATGCTAGGCTTCTATCGGACTCTCAAAAAGCTTGTGTGGCCAAACAGCAGGGCTGGGCCTCTACACGCTTTGTCATTTAGCTCACTACCATCAACTGCGGACCGACAACTCACATCACCTTGGATAGTTTAGGGTCATGATGCCATGACAGATCCGATAAAATGTGACACCACATGTACACAATGTGACATAATGTGACATGATGTGACATGGTATGACATGTTGACATTGCTGAGGCATCTGGCTTTCCACGGCTTCGTTTTTAGAGAGTCGCTACACAGATTTTGAAGCCAAGCCCAGCCACGGTGTTGGAAACCAACCAGCTGCTTGCGTTGCATGCTGGATCTATGACCCCAGACGACCCAGCAATCCTTGTGAGAGGTGAGAGGATTGAGATGACATGCGATGAATCATTGCTCCATTGTTGTCATTGCTGAACTCTGAACAAAGTATTCTAGATCTATCTCTGCTCAGATGGTCACAGTTCACCAGGCTAAACCAATGTCTGCATCCGTACCCTCTTCAAATGACAACGCGAGAACTCACCCTAAGAGTCCTTGAACGGCTCTGCCACCCAGGAAGCAAAGACATCATGTCCTGCCCCTGTGCGCAGAACCTCTTGTCTGCCGCCCACCTGCAACTGCTCTTGGCACTTGAAGCCAAAGAACTTCCTCCTACCTCCCTCTGAAGCACACTTGGGAAAATTCCTCAAACAGAACGACAGCACTTGCCTAAGGACTTAAACTTGCAGGTTCCAGTGTTCGTTCCTATGACAATTTCGGCAGCACAAGAAGAGGAAGAAGAAGAAGAAAGAAGAAGAAGAAGAAGAAGTGCAAAAAGATTCCTCTCTAAGTCTGGCATCCTGCCTGCAACAGCAATGGGGCTGAATTTCTGGAGCATCCAGCTGTGGATCCTGTACAAGTCGCCTCAGGACTTGTCGCGGTCTCTCAAAACGTTTTAAATGTAGGTATATTGAAACATATTGAAACTGAAATGTTCGCATCCTGCAATTGTGTATTCAACTGCTCTTTAGACAAGTGACTTCCGCCTTGATTCTGAGCAGAGCTGCCAACAAGAGTGTTAAAGCAAGCACATTTAGCCGCAGAAACATTCAATAAGCGAATGTTGTCCTAGGCCCGGAGACGCGTTGCACGGTTCTAACCGCTGCACAATCTCAGTGTCAAAAATAATGTTTTCTGCATCCTGCATCCACTTTGATGTTTTGGGCCTTCCTGGGCCTTCTGTGCGACGTAGCAAAAGCATCTCAGCATTTTCTCTTACTAAAGCCACTGGAAGTCTCAGATCTTTCCTAGAGCTGTGAAATTCAAGTCTGCAAGCTGGCTACATCACCGGGCCTTCACAATTTCGAACTGTAAAGCGTAGGTTCTTTTGAGCCCAAACGCAACAGAATTGCATGTGAAAATGGACTTAAGGATGTTTATAATTATGAACTTAGGGCTGGCAAATGTAAGGTCAAACTTTTGTGTAAGGAACGTGTGTCTGTTGAGTGTGTGTATGTGTGCGTGCGCGTCTAATGTCTATGTATGTTTGTGTCTTGCATGTGATAGAGCTGATTAGAATCTAAACAGCGACCAGAAATGTCGAAGTCTGGAAATTTTGGCAGCAAACATGAGCAATCCTCCACCAAGAACTGCTGCTTGGGAATGCCAACAGCACCTGGGGGAAGTCCCCAACCAAGGAGAAGCACATTGCCAGCATCCGAGACAGTGACGTGCAGAGTCCGAAAGAAGACAAGCGCAAGGAAAAAACAAAATACATAAATTGACAGGAACTGTCTCTCTTATCCCAATTCTGATTCGCTGCGGTGAACTATGGTGCGGACTGGTGGCATGTGTGATGGAGAGTTGAAACAGCCTCATCATGACAAGCAGTGTGCAAAGGTAGTTCAAACCTTAGCCTTGCAAAACTCAGACCATCTGTGCCTTTCGCATACAAAGGCAAAAACAGGCAAAAACTACTATTTGTACGTATTTGCCGTCACACTTCTTGGAAAACCATGGCAGCTGCTGAGTACGTTTTCATGTCTGTTTTGAAAACGAAATAGACGGAAATAGCATGTGCGGCGTGGTCTCTTGGGGTCTGAATCTTCTGTGTGTCATACACAAAGTGGGCATCACTTTTCAGGTTAGGCTGAGATAGGCTGAGCCACTCTTCTACACTAAACTTGGAGGTCTTGAGTCTGACAGCTTCCCCAGCTCAGTCACAACTCGCAGCACAGTCACCGCCGACGGACATGGCCTTGGCAACTCCACCATTGCCACTTCGGACCAAACCTGTCCAAGTGCTCACATGGCTCGCATGTATTCACATGTGCTCACAACATCTCACAACATCTCACAACATCTCACAACATCTCACAACATCTTACAGCCAAGGTCACCAAGGTCCCAAAAATTCCCCAGAGGTGAAGCGAGGTAAGGCAGTGAGCAGAGTGCATGAGCAGCGCAATGCTGAAAAGCATGACACTAACTTTGACTACTTGATACTACTTGATACTACTTGATACTACTTGATACTACTTGTAGATGCTAACCTCACTTGCAATTCTCCTCAACATGACTTCCCCTGGAAAATGAGCCTTAGCTATCCTCAGCTATGCTTTTGCTAAGCCTTAGGCCACACAGGCCATGGCACCGGCCTCATGGATGGCACCTAGCGGCCCCTCACGGGCCACCTGGAAATGCGCCTCTCGGGTCACCTGGAGCGTACCGCGAACGGCAAATTGATACTGCGTACTGTGTCGAACGGCAACCATCGTAATACATAGTCAATATATGTCAATATAGTCATTCCAATCATACAAATCATACCACGTCAACCATCGGTCCCGTTGTTTCGCATGGAGAAAGGCCACTGTAGAGAATAGTGCCGAGAACAAAGAATGGTCAAAGAGTGCTAAGCGCCCCGCATGGATGAGAGGTTGGAGTCGGAGAATGGCTTCAAATGTTCCTTGTAGTGTGAAGCACAAAGTCACAAAGACAATGTACCGAATGTAGCACTTTTTTCTGCCCGACTCTTGTTAGATGGATCCATCTGGACGACATCAAAGGACCGTCATCTGTTGGATCACAAACGAAGGCAATGCTGCTGGAATCAGAAGGCACCCTGAAGTTCCTGAAGCATTTTCCTCAAGATATGAAAGGATGACAGGCCTGCATCGTCTCCATACAGAAACAGCTCTGCAGAGTGCGACAGGACCTTGTAGCGGAAATTGTTGAATTCAGTATATTTTCGTTTGTTGAATTCCATTGATTTGCATACCGGATATATTAGGACTAGTGACTAGGATGGCAGCTGCACAAACTCATTTGAAAACAACTGCCTGACCAACTCGTCCAGCAAGCTTGAAGACCTTGACGTGAGCTTGGATGTCCCCTCGCGACAGCCTAAGTGTGCAGAGTCTGGAAGAAGTGAACCCGAGAAAGGGAGTGACCAAATCCAGCACCCCGCAGCGACACGGGTTTCCTTCCGTGAATCCAACTTCTCTTTAGAAGTCAATGTGTTTTCACCTGAACTTCAATGGATTGTATGTCTCAATTTTCAGTCACAACCTTTGCGATTCAGAAAATTTCGACCATAAGTTTCGTGCTCTTTGGCAGCTGCAAGCCTGCGTTGTCGCTCTGCCTCCTGCACAGCAATGGACTGCTTCCTCTGAGCACCCAAACTGCAGAATGGCTGGAGTCGGCTAAAGAGCAGTACCGAGTGATATTTCCATGTCGGGATGTAGGTGTAAATACCTGCAGACATATGCACCACCCTGCACCATCCTGCAGTATCCAGCAGTATCCTGTATTGTTTCTAGCCCCGTGCAGGTCAGAGGCCTTTGAGTTGGGAAAAAATTGCGCATGTTCCGATGTAGGCCTTTTCAGATGCGTCGCTTGCTTTTGGCTTCAAAAGAGTTTATTGTCCTCCCTTGACAAGAGTGCAAAGAGGACTTATCAAAGGATTCAATTGACTCCCATTGTCAAGAGGACATTGATACACTAGATATGCCCTCCTGAACCGGAGACTATGCAATAATCAGCGAAAAAGGTGGCTGCAGAGGTGCAAGTTGCAAACTGCAGCGTTGTCCCGCAGTTTACCCTTTGCACTGCTATACCAAATTAGGAAGGACCACACATTTGAAGCTCGAAGTATCAAGTGAATGAATAGTATGCTAAGATATGTTGAGGCTGCTTAGGGAGTTTACGCATTCTAGCTGTTTTAGCCATTCTAGCCGTTCTAGCCACCTGAAACATCACCTCAAGGGTCATTTCCAAAGGTATCAGAATGTGCGGTACGTCGAAAGAAAGGCCAACAAAGATCTTTGTCTATACTGTCATGGCCTAGCACTTAGAATATATTTTTCTTTTTAAACAACACTTAGAATATAAAATATTGCAAATTAAAACATGCCACTTAGAATTCATTAAAACCTTGCACATAGAATATGTTTAAGACAAATTAACAAAACATTGAAAAAAACAATGGTTTTTGCACTTAAGATATTTAAAAAAAAACTTGTAAAAATCAATGAAAAGGAAAGAAACCAACAAAAGCGTAGATAAAACCAAAAACACAACTATGTAAACATTAATAAAACAAGTAAAAAATACAATGATATACAATACTGTATATTGTAACAGAAACAAAATAAGAAGATTATACTACAGTACTGTACTATAAAATACTGTACTGCAAAAAAAATCTACTATATATTGTATTGTATTGCGCTACTATATTGTATACTGTACCGCATTGTAGTAATGTATATATATATACTGTATATTGTATAGTATTATATATTATATTGTAGGTGCTATCGCAGCACCATGTTCTATTGATTTCTATTGGTTTCTTTTGATTTCTATTGATTTCAGTCAGATTTCTATCGATTTCTATTGATTTCTATTGATTTCAGTCAGATTTCAATCAGATTTCTATATTGATTTCTATTGGTTTCAATTGATTTCTAAATTGATTTCTATATTGAGTTCTATTGATTTCTATTGATTTCTATTGATTTCTATTTTGATTTCATTCAGGTTTCTATTGATTTCTATATTGATTTCTATACTGATTTCTATATTGATTTCTATATTGATTTCTATGGTTTCGATTGATTTCTATATTGATTTCATTCAGATTTCTATATTAATTTCTATTGATTTCTATATTGATTTCATTCAGATTTCTATTGATTTCTATATTGATTTCTATTTTGATTTGTAGTATTCTGTTGATTTCGATTGATTTCATTCAGATTTCTATGTTGATTTCTATTGAAACTATTCAGAAACTATTATCCAACTAGTTATTAAATAGCTTCTGAATAGTTGCTGAATAGCTGCTGAATAGTTGCTGTATAGCTGCTGAATAGCTGCTAAGTAGCTGCTAAATAGCTTCTAAATAGTTGCTAAATAGCTGCTAAAATAGCTGCTAAGTAGCTTCTAAATACCTGCTCAACAGCTGCTAAATAGTTACTAAATAGCTGCTAAATAGCTGCTAAATAGCTGCTAAATAGCTGATAGATAGCTGCTCAATAGCTGCTAAGTATTTGCTAGATAGCTTCCAAATAGCTGCCTAATAACTGCTAAATAGCTTCTAAATAGCTGCTTAGCAACAATAGTCTAAAATAGCTGCTGAAAAGTTTCAAAAGAAATTAATACAGAAATTTGAATAACATCAATAGAAACCCATACAAACCAATGGAAAACCAATATAGGAACAAATATAAATCAATAGAAACCAATATCGAAATCAATAGAAATCTGAATGAAATCAATATAGAAATCAATATAGACATCAAAATAGAAACCAATAGAAATCAATATAGAAACCAATATAGAAATCAAAAGAAATCAATATAGAAACCAATAGAAATCAATATAGAAATCAATATAGAAATCAATATCGAATTCAATTTAGAAACCAATAGCCAATAGAAATCAATAGAAATCTGAATGAAATCAATAGAAATCAATAGAAACATAACCAAAAGAATCATGTAAAATGAATTTCTATTGATTTCTACTGGTTGCTATATTGATGTCTATTTTGATGTCTATTGATTTCTTTTGATTTATATTGATGTCTATTTTGGGTTCTACTGATTTCTTTTGATTTCATTCAGATTTCTATATTGACTTCTATTGGTTTCTATTGTTTTCTATTGGCTTCTATTGATTTCCAATGATTTATTTTGATTTCTATATTGATTTTTTGATTTCTGTTGATTTCATTCAGATTTCTATATTGATTTCTATTGGCTTCTATTGATTTCTTTTGATTTCTATTGATGTCTATATTTTGATTTATATTCAATTGTTTTGATTTCTTTTGATTTCTATCGATTTCCCTTGGTGTTTATATTGGTTTCTATATTGGTTTTCTGGTGATTTATCTTGATTTCTAATTGATTTCTACATTGGTTTCTATTCATTTCTATTGGGTTCTATATTGATTTCTATTGATTTCTAGTGGTTTCATTCAGGTTTCTATATTGGTTTCTATATTGGTTTCTATTGATTTTTATTGATTTCATTCAGATTTCTACATTGATTTCTATTGGATTATATAGATTTCGATTGGTGTCATTCAAATTTCTATATTGATTTCTATTGAAACTATTCAGCAACTATTTAGCAACTATTTAGCAACTATTTAGCAGATATTTATCAACTATTTAGCAGCTATTTAGCAACTATAAACTTAATCAAGCAATTCATAAATATAAACGAAAAACATTGAAAACCAGTTAAAACCTAGCCAAAAACATTGGAACTCAGAAAACCAAGGAAAAACAAAGAAAGCACAAAGAAAAAATATACTAAGGTTAGTGGTTTGTTCATATTCTAAGTGCATGAATGTACTTTGTTTTTCCAGCTAAAACCATTTTTTTAAAACTATAAAATATCTTAAAACATAAAATATCATACTTTATATTCTAAGTGCAAGCGATTATGTTCTAAGTGTTAATGATTTAAGCTAGCACTTAGAATAATCCCGTATTCTAAGACTATAGTTAGTATTTGCACATATAACATTTTAAAAAGAATAATATGTTTAAATCATATTCTAAGTGCTAGGCCATCACTATACTTTTGATTTCAGGATGTGCATCAGCACCAACAATGAATTTGACCGCATGTATGGCACAACTGGCGGACAGTTGTTCCAAACGATTAAAAGAAAAATCGTGCAAGGCAGGAATCAACAATGATGCAATTATTATACAATTACCTGACCTGTGCAGAAAATTGTGTGGAGTGGGCCATTGTGACGTCCACTGACTTAATTGCTTCGCTGCACATCCATTGAAAGCTGCCAAGAAGAGTACATCAAGGCCTTGCGTTGCTGCTCAACAGAAGCGAGTTCAGATCTCCCCCAAGCATCACTGAAGTCATGGTTGTGAGCCAAATCTTTCGCCAGTCTGCTCTGGGAGAACAGCATTCCTTATGGCAGCACCCAGGTGTCAGTGCAAAACATGAGGGGGCCCGACACTTCAGAACCATCCCTGTTCACGTGATGATATCGGATACACAATGTTACAACATGAGATGCTGCCTGGTCGGGGAGAAACACTTCTTGCAAGAAGTTGGGGTCTTGAGATCATTGGGAAACGAGAGAGAGGGGGAGGAGGGAGGGAGGGAGAGAGAGAGAGAGAGAGAGGGAGAGAGAGAGAGAGAGAGAGAATCAAAGAAGCCTTGTGAAGCGGGGGAAAACGGGATGAATGAGAAAGTGGGGTGGGTGTGGGTGTGGGTGTGTGTGTGTGCGCGTGTGTGCGTGCAACCCGCTAGTTGTCATGCAGGAAACAATTTTCAACTAACTAAGCTCATTTAAGCTACATGAATGTCAAGCGGGGAACTGGTCACCCTGCGACTGATCCAGTTCAACGAAGCTAGGTCACAGAGTGGGATATCTCGATTGGCCATCCAGACGTGCCTGCATCAGTCATAGCAGCTGGCTAAGCTCAGATCCGGCGTACACTTCGCAACTCATATTTGACCTTCAAATTTGAACGGTGTTAAGTTTCGTTCCGTCAGGACTTCATGTTGTAAGGATTTGACTCAAATACCATCCAGGCGCCGACATCTTCGCCACACTAAAGTACCAGCTCAGAGAAAGAATTTACTCTCAGCAGTGTGAATGGGCACAGTCTCAGTGACTTGCGCGTGCCGTCTGTATGCTCTGCGGCGTGCATTCATTGAGTTGGAGCCGGCCTTCCGGTGCACAATGGGGTATTGCAATCCCTCCAACTTTTGACGGGACATTGTACCCGTGAGAATTGGCTCCAGGCCGTAGTATATGAATTACAAGCATTGGAAGAAGTCACAAGACTGCAATATGTCACATGACAGAAACAGGCCAGATGGCCGGGAATGAAAAGCAAACTGTTTTGAACAAAGCATTGCTCCTCTACGGCCGGAATACCCAGATTTCTAACAATCGGTTCAGATGTAATGATGTACATGTTACCACGTTCATCTTTTGCCTTTTCTCATGTTTTTCTGTTGAAGAGCAACGTTGCCTCTTCCTGCATCGAAATTCCTTCTGCTTTTCCGAAAACAAGGGCGTCCAAACACGATTCCTCCACCAAGTTGGGCTACTGAAGTGAGTCAACAAGTTCGACCTGCCAATTTAGACATGATTGGTCACATGGGTCACTACCGTTTCTCATGGCACAAATCCACCACAAGGTTCAATCGCTGTTACGCATGGTACTTCTAACTGAAAATCAACGCGTTCAACAACTTCAGTTTCAGCAAATGCACGGGCCATTGCTGCATGGGTTATTGGCCAATATGCTCTGCCCTTAAACGCACGGATCGGGTCACAGCTGATGATCGGAGACGTTTCGGGACTGTTCGGAGCTCGAACCGGGCAGAATCAGTCGATCAGTACTGAATAGCGAGTTCGGCCCTTAGAAGAACAGGATCAGGAAGGTGTGATGTGAATAAACAAGTGCGGCCCTTAGAGGAAAATCTTGATCAAAGTAAGCCACCTGCTCCTTCGCCACTGCCCTCATGCGGGAGGTTTGTTCACTGCTTGACCGGTCATCAGGGACAGCGATTGACTTCTACGAGCGATCACAAGGTCTCAGTGACAACACCAAAGATTGTGACTACATTTGGAAGACATCCTCGGGCGGTCAGTTGTAGAAGTTCTGCGAGCACTTGCGCTATGCCCCAAACTCTTTCGGGATGTTTGTCAGGAACCTCATTCTTGGTGACCCTTGCAGTACTTTGTGGCCTTCCACTATGTTGAGATGTGATAATCAAGACCCCCGGTTCGCGAACCCAGGGACGTGTTTGATTACCCCCTGCGGGAAATCTGGTGTGCGGCAGTCCTAGTTTTCAGCACTTTTTACATACTGTAAACCTTAAAAAGAACCGAGAAAACCCCAGGAAAAATCCGGAAGAAACCCTCAATGAACCCGAAACCCTAAGGAAACTCTAGTATCAAGAAACACTGAAAAAAAGTATGAAAGTGTATATGGTGAAGTACCTGTGGGGCGTAGCGCACGTGCTGCGGGTGGAATTTTTGCACCCCGGGAGTAACCAGATTGCACTGTGGACGCTGCCAACAACTGCCTTACTTTTTGTGCGATTGCCTGAAATTAGACCAACCAGAGAAATCGGAATGTTGTTTTCAATTGTGCAACTTTGCCAACAGGTCGAAATGAAGGGTGCTTCTGAAAGAAAAGCTGTGATGGTTTCCACTTGCCCATGTCCAGCTCCAGCGCATTTTGAATACGTTGCGGATCTTGGTACATGATGATGATGATGATGAGGAGGAGGAGGAGAAGGAGGAGGAGGAGGAAGATGATGAGGATGAGGATGAGGATGAGGATGAGGATGAGGATGAGGATGAGGATGGAGATGGGGATGGAGGATGAGGATGAGGATGATGAAGATGATGATGATGGTGATGATGATGATGATCATGATGATGATGATGATGACGATGACGATGACGATGACGATGATGTGGATGCTGCGGATGAAATCTCAGGATGTCAGTCTACTTTCTACATGTTTCGATGCGTCAACTCCGTCTGTTTGCGACTGGGCAAAGCCGGAAAAACCCAGGATGCCAGTCTAGCGTTTACATGTTTTGACGCATGCATGTAGTCTGATGGCCACTGGGTAAAGCCGAAAACTCTAGGATGTTAGTCGATACCGTTTACACGTTGTGATGCGTAAACTCCGTCTGATGGCCACTGGGCGGACGCAGGTAGCGCTAGGATACAGGTCGAAATAAATGCCCCAAAAAAAACTGTGTGTCGCTTTCTCACCTGTCAATGTGGCACTCCGGTCGGTTGGTCACTTGTCGTCTGTCGTATATTTGCAGTGGTGTTTGCTACGCGCGTACTTAGGAGTCACCACTCCAGGTTTGGCGGGTTCATCCAAAATGTCCTGACACTTACGCCTACCACACCAAACCATGGCTGACGTAAAGGGTTCCGACAATATTGCGTATGTTGGCTTGGATAGGTCGGAAGCAAGTGCAACATGGGCTTGCGTGATTTTGCTAACAGCGACTAGAACAGACGCAACTCCGGCGCTTACATGTCCACAGGGGTGTTTCTGAGCAGATTCGTAAGATTGCAGCGCCGCCATTTTACAAAAAATATGCGCTCATCTTTGCCATAACAAGCTTTGCCCCCTCATGGTTGATTGCACATTTTCATACAACAATGCAGCGGGATGGAGAGGACGTATGAGGCTCCATCCAACGAAGCTCCTCATATGCTCCTAGGATATCACCAGGGACGCTTGGTGACGTACCTGCAACCAGTTCATTTTTTGACATAGCTCCCAGGCTAAGCTCAAACCTGGCTAGCCGATTTCCCATTTCATAGGGAACTTGGGTTTTTCTGTGTTTTGGGAGTTGTGTCTCGTTCATGCTCGACTACATCATGACCTTCCAACTTGGATACAGCCTCGACAAGGTCTATACCAGGTAGGAATTGCCAAATCTTTTAAGTTAAAACCCTGCAGAACGAACTATGCACGATTTGACGCGACCAATTTGGAACCAGCTCCAATTCTTAAAACCAGTCTTGTGTGTGTGTGTGCCTGTGCATGTGTGTGTGTGTATGACAGAGGTGTTGTCTTCGTCTTGCATGAGTTGCTGAATTCTTGTTGAACCATCCTGTGTGGGAAGGGTGCGAAGTGGGGTCGGCCCTTGGTGCCTGCCTTGCCAAAAATGCCGGAGCAAGAACAAACTCCAGCTTCCCGATGCTAATTTGCGTCTGTGAGCTTGTATGACCTCAGAGCTTCTCAAAATCTTGTGCCATATTTTAACGTAGTTGGCATCGTGTCAACATCATGTTGACACCGTGTTGACATGTTGACATGACCTCCAAAATATAAGCCACGTTTCCAAGCAGCGTGGGCTCAAAGTTAGGATTGATGAGCGCCAGAAGGAGGGGGTCATGGAGAACTTTGTGCGACAGTTTCTGCATCGGAGCAATCTCCAAATTCTTGTTGAGCTGCTCAGACAAGTCCAACAAATCTGGCGTCCGTGAGCTCCCAGAAGAGGAAAAGTTCAGTTCAAATTCTAAGAGGTGAGGATGGCGAGCTGACACTTTTGGGACCTCGCTGAAGAGCTTTGAAGTCTCAGCATCCTGGAAACGCAGCAAAGTCTGAGATGTTCGGCACAAAACACGCGTATCAGCGTATCAAGACAACGAACATGGATCAAGTGATTTGGGGTAGCAAACACTGTGAGGTCATATCCTGACAATGACAACCCTGATAAATACACCCCCCTACACACATCTACACATCCACCCTTGACGACAAGGTCAACAAGGATCTTTGAAGCGACCTAAGAATTTCGCCAAAGTCAAAACCCTCCACTGAGGTTGACCAAGTTGATAAGAAATCAACGTTGCTTCAACTATAGGTCCTATAGGTGAATGGGAGCATCCATGAAGGATTAAATTTGTTGCACCCATGGTGTGGAGTGTAGTGTGTCGAGTGTAGCGGAAGGAGGTGCAGGGAGGAAGAGTGGCACCTTTGATCCAGAGACCCTTCACCTGGGATGAGCCCAAGGAAGGGTCAGAGACCTTGAAGCTATTGTCCCAGGTGAAAGATGAAAGGGAGCAGTATCAATTAAGAAGGAGAAAGGGAGTTCCAACTAATCTAGTAACACAAAAAATCAAACGTCAGAAACGGACCCACTGAAGCGTCAGCAACCTTCCAAATCAAATTAAAAATGAAAGGAAGTAGTACTACATGGGTACCTGTACCACCAAAAATCTGAAGGTCGGAGATCGGTTTTACTAATTGGGGAGTGCAGCCACCACTGTGGGAAAAAACAACTAATTGACTTGTGTATTGCCTATTTTTGTTTGGCATTAGCCGTGACACTGTCACATTTCTCTCCCCAATTTCCTTTCTTCTTGCTTTAGCATTCAATTTGCGCAAAGGTTCATCTCTACAAAAATGTAGGCCTCCAGTGCCTTCGGCGGAACCAATCTTTTATTTGTAACAGGACCCACGACAAAATGGAAGTCCCACATTGTGAGATCAAAGTTGTGGTTCTTGCTCATTCACTAAAAATTACAGAAGTCATGTTGTAGATAATCACATCTGGATTCTTGTATTCTTTGTGCTCTTCCACTTTGTAGAGACTCCCTGTCTATCAAACCGCACCTACAACTATCACCTTCTAAGTGAGCTCTTGATAGAATTTCAATATACCTCAACTCATCTCACCACAGAATCAATCCCCCGGTGTGAACGCGTCGGTCATACAGTCGCATCACCACCCCTGAAAACCTCGATAAAACCCCTCCGGCCCTCCCCAAGGAACCGGTCTTCAGAGTGTTGGGTGAGTTTGAAGCACGCATCAAAGGGTCATCAAAGAAACACCTAGGCCACCCCCCTAGTGGAAATTCCTAGGGGTAAAATGGGGTAAATATGTTCAATCCAATATCTCACTGCAGGCGCCACTGTTGTTTTGCTCTGAACTGGCCGTTATCTGTGTCCTGTCAGGGCCTTGTTGGTGGCGTGGGCTTGAACGCGCACTTCATACTGATACTTTGTTTGGTTTTCTTCAGAACTACCAAAGATTGAGAAATAGCCTTTGACGGTGGTGACCCCTTCACAGTCTCTGTTACAAGTGCCTTTCGGATCATTCAATCGGCAAGTCGTGTTATTGGGCTGCTCACCGCTGCTCATATTTTCAGAACAAAAACGATAAGAACCTTCACCTACAGCAATATTGGAGTAGCGGTGTGGGGTTTAGCTGGCGTGCTTGCTTTTGTTGCTTACAGTACCTCCTTTTCAGTCGTCTTTCTCTTTGCACTCCGCGGCTTCCGTTTCATACCCATGTCGTCCTCCTCCAGCAACTTGCGGAATGTGTCGTGGATAACGAAGTAGGAGATTGAAGAGCTCAGCACTTCTCGGCATAAGCACAAGAACCACTTCGAAATGATCGGGTGGTTTGGGGTGCTGGCAATGAACCAGCTGCTGATCCTGATGGAACAAGACTGCGCTTAAGAGTTGACTGTGGCCTAATTTCAACGAACCCCTAGACCACATTGCACTATGCTGTAGTACAGTGGTTGCTTTGAACCCCGAATTGTCTAAAGATATCTAAAGTATTCTAAAGTTAGTCGAGGGACGGAAGCTTGCAGTTGACGAAGGGGTCATAGGGCCAAGATCCAGAGTCTCGCTCGAAGACAAAAAAGAAGCCGTCACACTCTGGCTCATTTTGTTCTGTTGGGAAGTGCTGTCTTTTTGATTGCTTCAATCCGTCCAACCATGGCATGATTGGGGCACTGCTGAACAGGGTCGCATCCGCCCAAATGCCACCGAACTTCTTGAGAAGAGCTAATCTCACAAGATCTGACCTTTGGCCTGCCGGCAGTTCCCAAAGACGGTCCCATCTGCACAAATCTGGGAGCAAAGCAGGAAGGTCACTGGCGGACACTTTGTGAAGGGTCAGCTCTGGATTTGACAATTCCCAGCTTTCTATGCAGATTTGGCAAACCAGAGGAGCATGTGTCCAACCTTGCTCCCAGTATGTCCAAATCACTGGTGGCACTGGCATGTCAGGCTCTTCTTCGTTGCTTGTCACCTCAAGATTCTCACATGTCTCTGATCGGTCTGATGTGTCCATCACAAAGGATCCATCGCATGTCGACTCAGACGTGTCTTCTTCCTCCACAAATGCGCTCATTTCTTTGAGCTTCCTTTCTGTTTGTTTTCTCTGGCGAGCGCCAGAACTGCTGCGCAGCAGTGTTGTCAAAACGACAAGAGCCACGGACATCCCAAGGAGAGTTGGAAAAAAAGCGGGGGGACCGAAACGGCTCAGGACACGGCTCATGACAAAGGGGACTCCACCTGCTCCAAGCGAGGAAGCAACGGCAAACATCGCAGAGTCGACCGAAGTCAGCTCCCGTCGCTCTTTAGCCATGGAAATACACATTGCATATGATGGGCCTACACCCACTGCAACGCCACTCACTCCCAAGAGCAACGCAGGAAGTTCAGTTGGCCAAACCGAAGCAGAAATACAAGCAAGGGAAGCCACAGATGCCCCACCCACAATCATAGATGACGGCTTCAAGTGGCAGCACTTGCAAATGCAAGGAGCAATCACAAGACGGCTCGCCTTGGGTCGTAGTGAAGCTTTCACGGGCTTTCACAGGCCATTTACATCCATTTAAGCATGAATACTGAATATATATAATTATTATATATATTATATATCTTAATTTACTTAATCCTTAAGTAGACAAATTCCACCCTGTCAAGCTAGACCTCGAAGGCTTTAGAGGTAAAACAGCTCCTGTCGTTTTGATGGTTGAACAGTGTATGAAATGAAATGTGTTCAGTTTCTTGTCACTGTCACCTAACAATGTTGAATCATACAAAAGAGCTGACTTGCTGTGACCCAAAGTCTATCCAAGTCACTGCGAACAGAGCCCAGAATACAATGTTGCACAATGAGGGCAAAGGGGAGTCGAATCCAAGCTGCAGCATGGTTGTGATCAACCAAGTCCCGCAAGCAACCTGCGCAAAGAACGCATCAGCTATCCAGACATGACACCAGGGCACATGGAACTTTGCTATTGGCGGCAAGTCATCTGCCTGCAGAATTATTTATATATATTATATTATATTATATTATATTATATTATATTATATTATTATATTATATTATATTATATTATTATATTATATTATATTATATTATATATATACATAATATGTATGTAGTGTACTCCTTTTTGAGCCCATGATACGCGTTCTCGCTTTGTCCACTGCCACTTTGGCAAAAAGCAAACCCAGCCTCCAACCCCACCGCGAGGACACCCAGACAGCTGCAGCTCAAAGTGAAAGCACTGGGCATAAGCGGCATGCTAACATGTTCAGGGCTCATAGGCGTCATAGGGTCATGAAGTTTGGGCTTGGAATTCTCAGGATTCTCTTCGGTCTTGGAAGTGTTGGATGTATTCACCTTGCCTTGGTCATGACGGTCATGTGCACTTGGCAGCGTCAGGAAAAGAAGTGAGGACAGCCCTGTGAAGGCTCCGGCAATGTAGAACATCGCCTCCCCTCCAAAGGGCGAGGAGAGTTCTTCCAAAAGCACCATGAAAACGCAGCCCAGAGCAAAGCCACCTCACGCCACAGCACAGAAACCGACACAACCCGACACAAGCCACATGCAACCCCCATGGTCCCATGGTGCTTGTGGACATCAATGGACATCAAACATCAACAAACATCAGCATCTTGCAACCTCGGCAATCTTTTAGCAAGGGAGCACGACTTCCATGGATGTTTCATCTCAGTGCACAGCGGAGAATGATATCTCAAGTATTCTCAATTCATGTTTGAGCAGCGCATCAATCAAACCGATGCTACTTTGATATGCACGACAGTCCCCTTCTTCAAGAAATTCCACCCAGCCATATACCCAGCCTTGATTAAAGCTTTGAGCTGCACTGCTCAAGCTGGCATCATCATAGAGCTCAGAGACCAACAGGTTCGTCATTTGTCCAATCCATGGCCGAGGCAAGACTTGGAAGGCAAAGACCAAGGCAAGCGCATAGAGCCCCGTCAGACTCGCACTTGGAAGCACCATAAAGAAGACTCCCAGCCACATCAACAAGCCGCAAAGGAGGTAGTGATGATACCTTCGCGGAACAAAAGTCATAAGGCTGGAAGTCAATCCTGAGACAATGCACATCACTGCTTGTGCTGCTGGCAGCCACCCCAGCATTTCTGGCTCAACATCTGCGTTTGAAGCCAGCCAAGGGATACTGGGGCCAAGAGCACTGCAAATCATCCCAAAGACCATGGTAGACATTGTATAAGCCATGAGCTGAAGGATTTTCACCCTTTTTGATCTTCGGACGGAGGAAACTGAGGAAACCACGGTGTGCCCATTTTGCCTCCGTGTGGCAAAAGACATACCGAGGATCTTGATGTGCCTCAGTTTGGAGTCCATTCTTTGAGCCAAAAAATGCCCTGGCAGAAACGGGGTGTGTATTGACAGCCTCGACTGCCTGTCTACGTCCAAAACACAAATCACAAAAACAAAACTTAAACACAACTCAGCGGGCTCATTCAACAGCATTTCAAGTGTCTGGTGTTAAGCGTAGGTCGTCCTCTAGTAGCGCCCCGGGCAAAAAATGCAGAGATGACCCCGACAATGCTGTGTTGGCCAACCTGGAAGTGCGTCTGACGCAGCCAGTAAGACTTCAAAGACTTGGCCATCTTTTCCAGCATTTTCTCTAAGAATTCTATAACATATCGTTCACATGATCCAAGTGCAGCCAGTATTCAGACCTATAAACAGACCTATTCCCACATGTTGGGCAGCAACGGACTGATTAGTGGCCGCGCCACTGATCACTCAGATTTATTTGTCAAGGCTTCCAACGAGATTTCCAGAGTATATATGTACCATCTGGTTATGACTAACATAGCCATGGAAAGATCCACCATGTTTAAGAACGGTAAACCATCTATTTCAATGGGCCATCTATACCATGGCTATGTTAAATAACCAGATGGTATTTAGAAAAGCAAAAAAAAAACGCTTTGATGCGCTTTGCTCTTGGCCCAAGTCTAAGGCTCCTGACACACCACAAACATCCAACGCCACCACACCAAGTAGGACAGGTGCTGCTCGATTGGCTGCAGCAGAGGGAGTTTGCCCCTGCAAAGATCAGGTCTACGAGAACCAACTGCTATCCTGTTGAACTACAGAATACGGCTTCGACACCAAAGTCAAACTATCAAAAGGCAAGAGTTGGAGAGACGGGATTGCTGATGGCAGCAAAAATTCTACGACTGATTCGATACCAGGGCTGATTGCAGGGTGAGAAAAACAGGCAGGAGAAGAAGCTAATTTCGGAGCAGAGCGGAGTGCAGACCAAGATTGGCGGGAGTGTGGAACGCCCATGTAAGGACCAAGAAGAAGCTTCAAAAGTTCTGCTCCAAACAATCAGCTTGACAGGAATGGACAGGATCGTTTGAATCCGCTTCAACAAGTGCCTCTAGAATGCCTCGCCAAACACCGGACGCACGCGGCTGCGCAGGGCAAGCCTTCGTGACAGAAGCATAAAAACACATTCAAATTAATTCAAGATAGTTTCTATAAGTTCATTTCATTTAATTTAGGATAATCTAGGCATATGTCGGCAACATCTGGATTTTGGGTTTTGAGAACGATGATACCAATGACTTCAAGGCCAAGCCAACTTTCACCTGGCAGGTGCAACACTTTGAACCAATCGTGGAATTGGCAAAAGCTTTTGCTACAGGCTGTGCCAACAACCGCCGCAAGGATCATTTCAAGGGAAGGATTGATGAATAATCCAGGGAAAAACTCATAAAAACCGATCCGATCGCCTTTGCCACGTTGTCAGCGTTAACTGGGGTTCCCCCAAAGGGCAAACAAGGAGGTAAAACATGTTTCCCGAAGGACTGAATCGGGATTTGCAAATCAGACTGGCTGTGTATTTGAAATCCGCGAAAATCTCGGTCGCTTTGAAGTGCAATGCTGCAATGCAAATGCAAGATTTCCAATGCATTTTCTCACGCACTTTGCACAGTCTCGGGTTCCCAGCAAGTTGTCCAGCAGGACCGAGACTGCTCTCCTGAGGTCGAAGGTGTACTCCTTTTCCCACAAGGCTATCACTCGCCTGTGACAAAAAGAAAAGGAAAATGGAAGAAGCTTCCATTAAAAAAATGGGGAATTCTGGAACTGTTGTCAGAAACACAAAGAAAGGGTTCAGGATGGGTCAGTTCCACAAAAAGTGGTGCACTACGGTGCTCAAGTTCCACGCTGCAGCAAGCTTTGCTTGGGCGTTCAACTTCCCGCGGCGGTCACAAGATGTGGAAGATGTGACTAAGATGTGTGATTCCCTGTTTCACCTCTAAAGTCTGGCTGAACTGAACAGAGCCCAACCAGGATCACTAGCTGATGATCTGTACCGATCTCTAAGGTCCTAGCCCTTGCAGGGAAATTAACTTTGCCATCCTTGAGGTCAGAGACCTGCGAGTCGAGTGTTGAATTGATAGATTGAAACCAAAAAACATAGACAGCTTCACTGCGCTCCGGAACGAGCTGATGCCTTCTGCATCTGAAGGCTGGTGAGTGGTGGCAAAACATCAAAAGCAGCCTGCCAAGATTGGAATTGAATGCCTTCCAGGCCAAGACACGACCAAGTGCCACAACTGCAATCTTGACTTTTTGATTTCCGAGCAAACGCCTTGTACTCGTCCACATAGCCAGAGCCGGCCTCGTTGCAAAAAAACATGCTATCCTGTATCAGCTTAAGGGTTTTCAACAGATTGCGCACCGCTGAGTCCAGATTGGGGTGCAATTACTCAGCGCAAAAGCCGTTGAAACGTTTGCAAATGTTTGCAATTTCATTTGCACAATTCAAATCTGGTGGATTGTTTTGGTATGTTTTGGTTCAGTTTTTGCCAATAACAAGATATAACAAGTGCCTCCAAAGCCTCCATTGATCAGGTCAGCTTCACATCGACGCAATCTGCAGAACGTGGAGAGAATCTGCAGAACCTTGTCGTACCTTGTCATACCTTTCACACTGAACATCCACATTCTCCCCATTATTGCACCATATTGCACCTTACTTTTCGACAGTTTCACAATGTCGAATGACTTGGTGCATCTTGTTCAAGGATTGTAAGTTTGAGACTATGTTTCATGTAATACGAACTAGAGGGAGCTTGGTCCTCAAGAGCTTCAGCCCTCTGTCTGAGTCTATTTGCTTTACACTTCGTTAAAACTGCACCTCCGTTGCCAAAGTGCAGAATGCAAACAGAGCATTCTGGCTCAACATCAGGCAGAGAGTCTGGATCGGACCAGAATGCATTGGCTGGTTGTTGTGGTGTGTGTGTGTATGTGTTTGTGATATGGTCCCTTGATTGATGTTCACTTAAGCTGTTGTGCGCGTTGATGCACATGTGGAATATACATCGCTTCTTGTCTTCATTCAATGACTTCGAGCCAAAAGTAGAAGCAGTTGCACTCTGCTTGACTTACCAACTACATATTGATGTGGTATGAATGGCATGCTCAGTGTCGCACACATAGACTCCAGGCAGGGGGAGTCCAGTGGGTCATGCCAAGTCTCGAAGTCATTTTCAGATATTTTCAGCGTTTCACATCGCAGGTGCTCAACGAATGCTCAGAAGCTTTTCAAGTCTCGAGCTATCCAATCTGCCATTGCCTTCTCTGCCTTTTCTGCATTCTGTGCATCACTCTCCGACGTTTTCGATGCCGAAGCTGACGACTCCTGCACGAGGCTTGGACGAATCTGATCGATCTTCTTGGCGTCGGCATCGGCGTCCTTCCCTGGACTGTCAGTTTTCTCAGTTTTCTCCTGCAAGCAGCTTGCAGCTAGCAGCTACTGTAGCAGCTCTTGACGGCTCTTGTCACATCAAAAACATGGGTTTTCCTGGAGATGAGAAGCCTAAGAGTCAAAGAGTCAAGACTGGTTGTTTGCACGCTTATGATTACACTGATTATTTGTAGAAGGCTTACATTCTCTGCCATGCCAGTGGCCGGATCAACCAAAACAAACAAACAAAGATAGCCGTCACTTCAACAATCATGGCAGTCACCGAATCCAAGTGAGATGGGAAGGCTGTAGACAGCAGTGAAAGTCCAACGAAGCAAACTGGGCACAGCTTGACCTTTCCCCAGCCTCAGTCTTAAGGCGTTGCCCAGCATGACTGGCATGGTCTTGAATTAACGAAGTGTGCTCACAGCTTGCATCCTGTGCAGCACAGAAGGCGATTCCCAGGCAGAGCAGCAGACGTGTGAGAACCATGGCGAATGGCAAAGATATTGAGGCTAATGTTCGATAAGATAGTGCTTGAACCGTCAAATCTCATTGAAACACAAAGAGCAGACTCTTGAGATCTCTTGAGATCCAGTGTCTCGCAAGCGTATGGCGTATGTTGAATACATACAGTGTGGAAAACTATCTGTTTGCATGACTCAGGTCTGCAAACAATAATGAAAACTACTAGTGGTATAGCACTGCATGGTAGCTGTATATCACTGCATAGCAACCGTATGTCTGGCTTTAAAATGCTTTAAATCTCCGCCAGCTGCAATTTGTCAGTCACCTTTTCTTCGACATGGATGTATTGCTCATCCGCCATTTGGCGACCGTACTGGACTCTGATGCTACACCATTGCATATCCTACGCCACCTATGCCATCTGTGCCGCACAATGCCATCTTCTGCCATTTGCAGCTCCGAAGTATTGCCCAAAGAAGCGTCCCACGGAAGCCGCGCCCCAACAGAGACACCAGGATGCACAAACCAAACAATTTCCAAGGGAGGCCTCAGGGCAATACAAACGTCTGAAAAGACCTTGGCCAACTAGATCCAATTTTATACCAAGCAGTGAAACATAGTGAAACAAAGAAAGTTTCAGGGGGGCTTCTGATCTCCATGTCTGTATTACTGTTAACTAGTTACATGATGTTACGTGAAAAAAACAGAAAGATTACCATTTCTAGCATGCTGAGCATGTTCAAACAAAAACTGTATTGTTTGTTTACATTGTTTTATCACTACACCTGCTGTTCGTCTGATTACTATAGTAAGTTACTAGCATGCTTCAATGTGCTTCAGGTCAAAGCCCAGCCTACAAGTGACACTTCCGATGCGCCGTGCAAAGTTCGATCTCATCGAGCGCATCTGGCCCCTGCCCTACAGGGCCCTACATATCCTGGTGACCCAGTGTCCTCCAGGTGTCCTCCAGGAGCACCCTGCAAGCCATCGGAATTGGCTGTGGCAAAGAGTCTGGAGCACCGCGTCTGCCTCTGGGGACTTTCATTGTTTCAGCCTGTTTCAACGATCTTTTTCGTGTCGCCAGTCATTTCTTTTCAGCTTCCTCGTTTCCTCTTCTCGCATGTAAGAGTAGGCCATGGCGCCATTGATTTTCAAGATATGATAGAGGTGTCCTTGCCGCAAACATGTGTTCTTCCTTGTGCTCAACAGGAAATACTAACTTGTTTGGCCTGATTGCAACCAATGAGAACTCGAGATGAGAAGATCAGATGAGACAAGACCAGCTGGACCAGCCTGCATTGGGCCACTGTAGTGCCAGGAGCCTGCAAAGCCAACCACCAGTCTCAAACCGCCGCCATAAGTGCAGGTCAATTTCACCCAAACAAGAGACTTACAATGCTCTGATGGAGGGATAATGCAGGATTTTTTGTGGCCACTGGTTCGCACTTGACAACTCCCAGCAGCTGGTTTGGTTTCAAAGTGAAAAAATGCCAGATTTGAGATGAAGATGATGTATCGTACTGTATCTTCGGACCAAACAAAACAAAACAAAACAAGTTTCTTCCAAGAAGGACAGGCCCTCAGACGCAGTGTTCAATTGATTTCAATTGCAGCTTCTTGCACTGCACTGAGGCCTCGCTCTGACGCGACAGGGCGAGGACTCAAGGCCTCAAGGACGACTGTGTCATTATATGAAGATGACATGTCATTATTGCCCCACTGTATGGTTCGTAGTCTCATGTATTCTCATGTATTCTCAAATGTTGTCAAATGTTGTCAATAGTCTTATAACTTTATATATATAATAGATTATAATAGTATAATCAATTAGTATGTCTTATATATACATATCATATAATGTCTTACATTGTCATCAGACGTCATCACTGTCATCATTTCATGATCATTGATTCTCATCAATTGTCGTAGAGTCGTACTCATATTATGTGCTCAGATCATATGGCCCATGGCGAAGCAATTTGGAAGGGTCTATGTTAGTTGGGGTGATGTTATATAGTAGGGAAAAGGATAGCATCTGCACCAATGATTGGTGCGGCATGTCTGAAGCTTATCCATCTTCGCCTTCTTTTCCCCTGGCCCTTCCCTGAAAGGGTCCCTGAAAAGAAAGAGAGTGTAACGCCACCAGGTCCCCCAAATTACGCTCTCAAAAGAAAAGGACTGGGATACACACGTGACACGTGCCGCGGAAAATATGTTGTACATCATGTAATCGACAGGTTCCTACCTCGTTTTCCATTGTTGGGTTTTCCATTGTTTGCTTACCTCGTTCTCGGGGGGTTAGTACCTCGTTCTCGGGGGTTAGTACCTCCTTTGCAATTTGGGCAACCAGGGTACACCTCAAGACTACCTCCACTTCACCCAATAAAGGCCGCCACTTCTATACACCTATTCAACCAAGGGTTAAATAACTGGTGGTTTGGAATTCGTGCCTTTGTTATTGTTAATTTTCGGATATGTTCGGGGTGAAAGAAGAATCTTCCTCATTACAGTACATGCCTCGAAATGTAGATAGAAATCCCAGACTTTCTGGAGCTGTCTGTAAGTCCAAGATCAAGTTCCATGCGCATCGTGGTTTGGAGCTCTATCCCTGAGCGCTGCACCGCATGGTAGTTCAACATAAGGCCACCAAAGCTTTGGGTAGCCCTTCAGAATACCACCTTCAGATCACAAGATCTAACGGCCAAGTCGGAAGCACAATGATCCGGTGAAAAACACACTTCTCATGAGCAGCGCTTCAAATCTTGACTGTTCAAACCCACAAGATATGTACTCCGACAAGTCATTGCATGTTCAATATTCGTTCCATACATTGTCTGCGAATATGTGCCTTACATATTGACGGTTCTGGTTGTCCAAGTTGAACGCTTCCGTCCTTTTGAGAGCACCCAGCAGTGCTGTGTCATTTTATTTGGCTTGTAAAAAGTCAGCTATGTCGTATCCACATGCCCCACATATTCCATCATATTCCATCATATTCCATCATATTCCATCATATTCCCACACCCTCGTCCGTTTTTCTCCATCTTTAAGGGCAGCATGGTGCAGCTTGGCAACTTGCCATGGGCGCTAGTTCTCGAAGCAGTGACGAGCTCGAGACGTCGCCGACGTCGCCGAAGCCCAAGGGGCCACAGTCGCAGGGTGAACCGGTTGCACCGGTTGCTCCTGCGCTGCTTGCACCGGTAACCTGGGGATATCGTAGTGAGATATAGTGAGTCATGGTGTAGTCATGGTGAATCCACCAGCTCAACGAGATCCCGGGCCACATGACTTGTGCATCCCAACAAAATTCAACAAAATTCAACAGTTGCTTCAAAATGTCCGCGGATCAGGCTGTCTTGAGATTCCCGGCATCAAGGATCGCTGACGAGGATATCCCCAGAAGAGCTCCACCTCCACAGGCTCCACAGGTTCACCTGCAGTTGCAAAGCATTTGACATGATCCTGGTGCTATCAATGGACTGGCAATGATCTGCAATTGGCTTGTATTGTCCTGTAGTGACCCTGCAATTGGCTTGTATATGCTTGTATGATCTTGTACTTTCTGCCCGGCAACTTTTTCACAAGTTTCTTCAGCTACAGGGTTGCGTCGTGTTGCGTCGTGTTGCGTCGTGTTGCGTCGTGTTACACCTGCTTGTATGGCATCAGAGCAAAAGCTCCTTGTCGGCCAGGAAAATCGGGACCAGACTCAGCTGACCTCAACGGGCAACGCCAGACAACACTGCGTTCAAGTCGTAAAAAAAATGAAAAGATATCAAAAGTTAAAATCGAAATAAATCAAGATGGAGAATTGGAGTCATATTTTGAACAATTTTAACAGACTGGACATTGCCGAACCACCTTGCCACTAGCATGCAGGTCACGCAACCTTGCACACCTGCCACAAGCGTGTCTGCTACCTGAGGGCAGAAGCTTGTGGCTGTCTATGAGTCTATCACGTTTGCATCATCATGTCTTCAAAGTTTGAAAAAAGCGACTGCATCTCCATCTGACTGCGTCTGAATGGTTGGTTCAAATTCCTGGCCGTTCCTCTCCTGTGCATCAGTCTCCTCAGATGCCTCGAAGTCCGCCACCAGCGACCGCGCCAAGTGGATCCCCGGAAGGCCTACGAGGACATAGCTGGCAAGTACCACGTTACAATGCCGTACCAGTACCGGCGATCAAAGACAAAGATGAGGAGGTCGCTTTCCCCAGAAATGGTCAGAGAAGCAGATGTTCAAAGTTCGACTGCTGGACAAAGCTGATCACAAATGAAAAAGGTTGCAGGACTCGGGCTGCACTAGGCTTGTGATGCTGATGGTGATTCTTGTGCTGTTCACGTTTGAGTGTTTTTCTTTGGGTGTTTTTCTGTCTGCAGTTGTTTTGCTTGTTTTGTCTCCAGCCCTTATGATCAGGTCACAGGTCTCCAAATCTCTAAGAAGTAAGGGATTTGGGTGTTTTTGGACAACTTGGAGCGTGGACCCCTGGCAGTTGGAAAGAATGGAGGGTCTCCGTGCGACTCGTGAGACTCTGGCGGCTCTGGTGTTTCGGTCTCTGGCCTTGGTCGGTGCAGCCTTGGCCCCGCCATGAGGTCCCCGCAACCGATCTTGGGGACCCGGAGCTGCGGTGGCAGTGGCACCCTGCCCCAGAGTTTTGGATCTTTTCGGCAAAGTTCATCACATTGCACTAGTCATACAGCAATGCAATGCATGTTCATCATGTTCATTTCAAAATAGTGCGATTTGTGCAAACAGGAAGCTGATCAAACAGGAAGCTGATCAAACAGGAAGCTGATCAAACAGGAAGCTGATCAAACAGGAAGCTGATCAAACAGGAAGCAGCTGATCACGGTCGCAAATCTGTTGACAAATGGAACCTCGATGCATCCAGGTGGATCTCGACTTGCGTAAGGCGATAAAATGCACGGCGCCGCGCTGAGAAAAACCGGGCAAGATCGCCTGAGACATGAAATATCATGAAATTGCAAGCAGCGAATTTCAATGAATCATAGTGAATCAATGAATAATTGGGAATGGAGAACTGTACAACTGTTTACTTTCGTGCTGTGGGAAGAAAACACAAATACACATAAATACACACATTAGGGCGCCCACATTGAGACAGGACTTTAAACTAAGGTGATAGACAGTGATTCTGGTATCTTCTTTGCGGTCCAAGCACGAAGCAGAACAGGCCAACGATGGACAGCATTTTGGGGAAGCAAAGGAAGCCATTGCTAGGAAGCTCTCAGCAAACTGGAGTACCTTATCTCAACCGATAAGTGTTCGGAGAAATCCTTCGCCTGATGCCAGCACGTGCCTTAACTTATCTAAAAATTATGTTAATTATAAAATATTATAAATTATGAAATATGTTTTTCACCCTGTGCATTGCACGAATGCGAAACCCTCTTCTGCTTTGCTTGTCTTTCACTAGGACCCAAATGCAGAGGCAAGAAGCGCAATGTGGCGCTGCAAATGCAAATGCAAATGGTGAGGCAACTGCTTAAAGCCATATCAAAAATGATCAAAGCGATTCAAAGCTCCAAGTTGTTTCCAGATTTGTTTCTCATTTTTCGCCGCTGCATTATGCTGCATTATGCGCATAATGCATTCGCAGCGATGAGCCCAAAGAGCCCCAAGTTGTCAAACTATGAAGGCCAGGCCAATCTGCTCCCATTTTGAAGAGCAGGAGCCCGTTTCAAATGAAAGAGCAGGAGTCAGTGGACAAACGTGGAATGCAAATGAATGCAAATGAAAACTGATGGCAAATGGTGGAACTGGTGAAATAATTTGAGCATGACAGGTTCAAGATGTTCTGTCTGTTTGCAGAATGAGATGTGTATGTGTGTGTGTATGTCTGTGTCATGAAGTATGTCATGTATGTCATGTAATTCATGTGTATCGAAAGAGCTCTCTAACTTTGCAGCAAGTGCGGCACCCGAGCCCCACAGCCGAGGAAACCACTTTGGCAGAAGCCTCAAACGTGCATAGGTACCCCGGGCACACCGCCGCATCGAACGTATCTCAAAAGGCCTCGTGCAGGCCATTCACCGAACAGCTTCAATGCAAAGAGTGCACGGTCTTATCTTCAACGTACTGCAACGGCATCGAAGACAGACATCCAAGTCAGTTCTTGGCAAAAATTGGGGGCCGTTGAGAGGAACCTAGTGTTGAATTTCCCAACTTTGCACTCGCCTCCCCTCCGAAAAAGGCTCCAAGTCAATGGTGTTCATCCACAAGAAAGGTCGAAATCGACATGACCTAGTCTGCATCCAATTCGACAAAAATCATTCCAGGGAAATCTTACTTGATTGAATGTTTCGCACCAATCAATAAATGACCGTGGATGATCTAGAGCCAATGGCAAAGTCCGCTGAGCCAAGAAGCTGCCTGCATGGTCAACACCTTTGGCCCAAACCAGGTCACACACGGTCACACACCGTCAGGTCAGCGACGTCATCTGCATTCATTTCCGACGCCAATTATTGAAACATCTTGAAACCCTAGCTGTCAAAAATGGGAATGGGAATGGGAAGCTTCGATGATTTAAGCTAAGACAGGCACGACAACGCAGAGGCGCATTGTCAAGGTCAAAAAACGGTAAGGCTCTTCACATGGCACCTTAGACATTTGAAGCGTTGCATGATGAACGACACTACAATGGAATACAGTGGGTATAAATGGGTATAATAACTATAACCGACATCACAGGAACCTTGCGGGTCTTTATGGTACTGATTCTTGAGTAGAGGAAATCGTGACAGGGATTGCTCAGGTACCATCAAGGCCCCGTTTCACTGCCACAAGCATGTCAAGGTAGTGTCACAATCATTCAGCGTCATGCTGAACAGTGTTCAGTGCATGTTGCGGAAGAAAGGCTGAATGTGCCTTTGGACATTGTGCATCAAACTGTTTAAAACAGGAAGTGGCGATCGGCAATGGCAAAAGGTGGGCCCAAGTACTTGCAACAGCGAGGCTCTGCTCAGATTGATTTTGCACCATAAGGGACGATAAGTTGCAATGGAACTTACAATCTCATGAATCTCATTTCTGACAACTGTTGATAGCAGTGGCGTCATGCTCTGTTGTGTCTTCCAAGCTTTCAAAGCTTTGCAACGCCCTCTCCAAAAGGAAAGGGAGAAATGGAGTTGGAAGGAGTTGGTTTTGGAGTTGGAAGGAGTTGCTTTTGCTCCAAAGGCAGATTTGTCATGGTCCTATGCAGCTGCCTTTGAGATGGGTGACTTGCATGGCTACGACGGCTACGAGCTACGTATCTTCACGCTGTGGCAGTTGTGGTGAAGTGGATCTTGAAAAAACTTGAAAAAAGAGCGACAAGAGAAAGAAGAGAGAGAAGTCCCAGAAAAGGTCATTGTCATACTGCCACAGGGTGCAGTTTTCACCTCATGTGAGTATTGTGAGATATTCTGAGTACGAGAGATGCTGGCAGCAATTCGAAACTGGGGTGCTGGCATGCACTGACACTGAGTTCAAAAGGATGATCAAGTGAGCACCTTTCATTGTCGACGTCATGAAACACATTGAAACACATTGAAACACGACGGTTTTTCACACTGCTGTAAGCTTTCAAGGGGTGCGCTTGTAGCTTTCATTCCTTGCCCTGATTCACGTGAAGTACATAATTTTGCGGAATGCAGTGCATTTGCAAGATCTTGCAATACTTTTTCACTGCAGATACATTTAGAAATCTGGTCACTCACTTCTGCACCTATAGCGTGGGTCACGCTGGTCATTTCTTGAGATGCCAAGTGCCTCCAGGTTCCAAAAAAGTCTCAAAAGAAGAGATGAATGATACATCAAGAATTGACTATTGAATAAATTGGATGCTAAGCTATGCTAATTTTAAGCTGCAAAGTTGCTTATGTTCATGCAGAATTGCGACATAGTACAACAATAATTGACTTACGTTCTCAGTCTTCCCATCCCTTCCTCTTCATGGTCTGCGACGTTGACTCGTATTCCCATGGTGCGGCAGGAACCGTCAACACGCCGAGCAGGGATGCCGAACCCCACAAAGTACACCTAAGCTGCGCAACACAGTGTGGACATGTGTGGACCATGAGCCAGTTGCAGAATGTTATACAGGGACCTGTAGGTGTCTGAGCCTTTTTGTAGAACACCTGTGACACGGCCACATTTTTCGAACGCTAATTCCCAGCTGTGCATTCTTGCAAATGAGGCGCATCACCACAAAAAGCAAGCCTGGTCAAAAGACTGGTGACTTGAACGTAGTCAGATCTATCATAAAGAAAAACTGAACGACGCACGACATGCCTCTGCTTTTTTTCCAAAAGGAAACTGTCAGCACTGGCTGCAAATTTTCAAAAGGCAGCGGAGTTCCATTAAGGCAAGAGGCCCCGCCATGACAGTTTGTCTTCCAGCACGTTGCCCACATCATCAAGTTTAAACGCCTTCCCACAGGACGACCGAAAACCGCCAAACATCTCGAAGTGAAGCGCTTCCAGAAAGTAAATCTAAGCAGCAAAATTCTCAGCATCGCATGCTAAAATGACTGAGGGAAGGGACGTGGAGCGTACCATTTGCAGTTCTACTTAAAAATTCTATGCTTTTCCATGCGCACAACATGACCTATTTTTCAAACTGCGCTGCCTGGTTCGGTGAGCTGGTGCTTTTGCTGATCGGGACAACTTGACTAACCTCAGGAGTTTCCAAGCCTGGAAGGCAAAGTTTTTCAATTTGCCAAGGCAATCTCTATGCATTGCATAGCTTTGCATAGTACGTTTCACCATGGGTTTGTCTGAAAATAGGGTATATTCCCAATGAAATAGCCATTTAATAGGGATAATGATGGATAATGATCATTAACCATTGGGTTTAGGGGTACACTATTTTCAGACACACCCCCATGTGAAGCTGCTCGATTTTGCCCAGCTCATGCTGATCAGTTCTCACCGAGTTCCCCTGTGGTCTGGTCGGTTCTGACCGCAATCTGGGTACCATCGTCTCTATGGACTCCTCAGTTGACACTCACTGATCTTAGTCTATTTTGAGGCAAAAGCATTGAATATCGGTGTTAACCGATTTGAATCATTTTAAATTTCAACCGATTTAACCGGTGTTAAACCGCCAACCAGTATCTTTTGGCCACGGCACTATTCAAGTTGGAGATCAGGGTGAGACCAAACTGCTCTGTGCGCCTCAAAACACCATGCATACATTGGCTGTTTTCAAGTTGGGACTCGCATGTGTCGCACTCATTGTCCACCAAGGGGCCACATACACAAACTGAAAACTGCTCCAATCAGGTACAGCACAGTGCCTGCAGGCTACACACCAAGCAAATCGAAGGACAGACAAGAAATCCTGCAGCCGATCCTATCTTGCCTGTCTTGACAGTGCCTCTCTGATTTTTGATGCGTGGCATTGATGATTGTGCGATAAATGTGCGAAATATCCGAAAATCCTGAGGTGGGCCCAAGGCTGGCGCACCTTGTACACCAATCAGAGTTGTATATTCACCAAAAATCTCTGAACCTTGGATTCAGTCCAGCAGGAAACTGCATCGAGAAAGGTCGCTAGATATGCTAGATAGGTCTTGGCTACTCGACGCAGAGGGCCAAGGCGGCCAAGGCGGCCAAGGCGGCCAAGGCGGCCAAGGCGGCCAAGGGACAAGCGCAAAACCAAAAACCAATACCACCCACAAAGTTGCACACTGATGTCCACCAAACCTCAGCTCGGAGATTCCCAAACTTTCGTGTGATTCTTGTCAGTCTCAGTGTTGAAAGGTGTTGAAAGATGTTGAAAGCTCATCTGTTTCATTGATCATATATGAATATATATATATATGTAATTGATATGTGTGATTCTGATCATATGTTCAGGCCAGCGACAAATGTATTTGGTGGCGTTGCCCAGCATCTGTTGTGGATCAGCTCACAACACCCACCGATAAAGAAGCAAACACCTGGTGAGGCTTGGATGCACTGAGTTTAAAATCTTTAAAGCACTCACAGTCACAATGTCCCAAAGTGCAAAATACCCCCAGTGAGACTTCCAAGTTTGCAAAATGCGAGCAAATGCGCACTCCACCTCCAAATACCAATGGCCACTCGACAATTTGTGCGTGAAGTTCCTTCGAACCAGACTAATCGGTCATTGGTCATATCAGTCGTATCTCAACGAACCACATATTTGGAGCCGCTTAGACGACTCCGAAGCTTACAAGGGGGCAGTTTTACGAGCATGATCAAGTTGATGGTGTTTCTTCTTTTACAAGTCCGACTACACTACAGGTGACGAGAAAATCAAGCTGGACTTCTTCGTTAGTGTCTCATGCTGTACCTTTTTTTCCGCTCTCTCTCTCTCTCTCTCTCTTGCTCCTTTCTCCCGCTTCCTGGTTCTCTGGTAGGGTATTTGCCTTCTCACAATTTTTCTCCTTCCAAAAAGGTCCTCTGAAGTGGTGGGATTTCGAGATAACATGTTTTGTCTTCTGGTTCCCAAGAGATCCCAAGAGATGCTGCGAAGATGTTCTGACCGGACCTCTTCCAGCTCAAGCATATTGGCCATGTTTGCAATTTGGTAGAGGAGTGCACCAATCAAATAGATCACCCAACCTGGAAATGCAACGTGTCAAGGGATGTCAAGGGTTTGGGTCGGATTGGGCACCAGCCCTTTTTCCAAACAGCAATCAAAGCGATCGGTTCGAGTGCTGGAAGTCTTCTGTTTACACAGCAACTCTTGTGCAGTCCGATGAGAATACTGGAGACGAGGCCTGCAATGGAAGAAAGTGGCTGGTACCAGTAGACATCACAGCTGCCATTTGCTCCTGCGCAGAGGTATAACAGAATCACAACGGTGTACGAAAAAAGGGCAACAAAGGAATTCTGTTATGCCATTTATGCATCTAGTACATTCTAGTACTTCGATCACACCTTGGGCATTGCTGCTGTCACTGCAAGTAGAATCAGTGTCGCCTGCCACGTTGAATGACATGTAGCGCTGCTTTTGTCCACTCGGCATTTTCTCTTGGAAAAATGTGCTCAAAATGGGACAAACCCAGTTTGTAAAACGATACATACATATACAAACACTCCTTTTGAATTTTACTATGCTGAGCACCATTCCAAACACTTTGCCTTCCTCTCGTTGCTGTAGAAGGCGGTAGAGGGCCTTCCAATCACACCACAGAAAGTTAGGACCTCAGTGGCGAGAGCACTTCAGGCATTCAGAAAGCAAATAGTACAGGCTAGCTGCGGCTACTTTCATAGCTGCTTCATCTTCACTTGAATTGTTGTTACATGTTTTTTACATGTCTATGTTTACATGTAAATATAAATAACATGTTGTAACATGTTGTGCGTACTACCTTGGCAGCCTTGGCCACTTCATGGGCGGACATATCTTTTTCGACTGCAATCAACTGGAACAATTGTGATTTGAAAATACTTAAATGCTTGAAAAGCATAGTGTAAACCATTGAGGCGCAACCAAAATGTTTCTTCAAATCTTGTTACAGATGAGATCCGCAGTGAAGACGTGCTGATTGTTCGGGTATGTTCTGATCCTCTGAAAGAGATACAAGTGGCACGAATTGTTTGTGGCAAAAACTTTGAATCCCCATGAACAGCCACTGTGAATTGAAGATGCCACAGCACAAGCCTCCTGAGCCTAGAGCGAGTCAGATTCGTGTCAGTGTCCATATTGATCAACTCAACATAGCCCATGTAGATCCCAGCTCCAAAAATCGTTGTGCCAAACAGTATGGGCATCTTGGAGATCCAAAACCTGGCTTTTTTTGAAAGCAGTAGAAAGGCTGAACGGCAGTGAAAAATCCTCAACCATGGTTGCAATGTGTGGCGATGTGTTGCGATCAAATGTGTCCTCCCGTATTTTCATTGAAACATCTGAAACATGTTCGACCATCTCCAGAGGAGAATGCACATGTGTAAAAGAATTGTGGACAAACTATGCGCATACAGATCATCTGGGTTTGCAGTTGGAATGAACAAAGCCATCTAAACATTCTAAAACTAGTAGTGAAATTCAGAACTTCAGAACATCATGCCAGGTCGCTCCATCCGCTTTGGAGGATCATCCCAATATAGTTCAAACAACGGCTGCCACAAGAAGAAGAGGCACCCCTCAACCTGAGCTCCGCTTCATGCTTCGCAGGAATTGGATGGAATTGGAAGCTTCAAGTGATTCGACCTGCACTGAGATATCGACGGTGTGGACGGTGTCGATATGTTTTAATGCTAATCATGCTAAGGTTCACACAAAAAGGACTCCAATCCTTGGAACTCTGGTCCGGAATGACCAGCTGCTTCAACAGGTCAAACAATAAGCTCCCTTTATAGCCTCACCTGGCCTGAAACAGGTCCTCACCTGGCCTGAAACAAAACAAGAAAGATTCATAGTCATGGACCATGGACGTTCATGGACATTCATGAACATAAGAAGTGGACACTGGCCTTGGCAGTCTCAACATCTCAACATTTTGGGCCCCAAGTGTCCAATAGGCACAGGTTCGTCGGAAGTTGTAGGCCGACACTGTTGGATACCAGTACTCAAAAGTGCCCATCCTCTGTGGTTCAGGTGTTGCACATCAAGGCTCAAACGTATTGAAACTGATTGAACCTTATTGAAATGTATTGCATACTGCATTGTTGCGCTGCAAATGCTGCAAAGAAGAAACCCGGCGGCCCGGCGGCCTGTTCTTTATGTGGGTCGACTCACAATTCTCTCCTTTGGCTCCCTTGTGATCTCCCTGTCCTGAGACTTCACAGACTGGAGTTCGTCCAAGCAAACCAGTACCCTCTGGTAATTTAACATAGCTATTGAAAATGGCCATTTATAGTGGGTTTTCCCATTAAAAATGGTGATTTTCCATAGCTATGTTAGTCATTACCAGAGGGTACTATCAGTACTAGTGCGCTAGTGTCAGTGTCCATGGGATTCCGAGGGTCTCCACTTCAGGTAGCTGTCTCTCCAATTGCAGTACCTAGGCACAATGTCAAGGCACAAACGCCATGCAGCTGAGAACATTTGTCAAATTAACACACTACGACAATGCAGGGGCTGAGAACACTTTGTCAAATTAACACACAAAAAGCACACAAAAAAAGCTCCAATCCTGATCAGTGCCGAGGAGCTCTGCATGGTAGCCGCGTTCTATAAATTCTTTGGTGAAATCGTGCAGATCATCCACCTGTCGACACTTCGGAAAACCAAACTGCAGGAACCGGAACCAGTGGCAGAGCTTCCAGATCTGGATACCCTCTGGTAATTTAACATAGCTATGGAAAATCACCATTTTTAATGGGAAAACCCACTATAAATGGCCATTTTCAATAGCTATGTTAAATTACCAGAGGGTATCCTGTTTTTCCAAAAGAAGTTCAGCTTGGCTGGCTGAGCTCCTCGCAGGCCGCCTAGACGGAGGCAAATCTTCGGCCGGTTCCTCGCAAGGCACGAGTCGTAGAAATCGTGGATGGAGTAAGCAAAGCACTCTTCTTCAGTTGTCAAGTCATGTTCAGTCTGCAGTTGTAGCCATAGGAACCATAGGATCTCTGAACAGTCTGCGCTGCCCGCGGCTTCGTTCTCACATGCTCTTAATGTCTGCTGAAACCGGATAGATCTACCAGGCTTGCTGAAATATCATGTCTATGTGTGTAGCTCGCCAACGGTTTTCATTGTGAACTCAACTTGGACAAATAGTTGTAGACATAACAACAACCCAGATTCTTGACAAGCTGCCAATGTACTGCATTCCCATTCTGAATCGCTCTGAATTGCCCTTCAACGGCAGACGAGTGGCTTGAGAACTTGTCCGGCTCATGGGAGGAGAGCGACAAGCTATCAGTGGATCTTTCAAATACGACATTTTGCCTCACAGAGTGTGCACTACATTATTCTCGGACAGAGATTCTTCAAGCCTTCCTGCAGAATTTGGAGATCTACCACTTTGAGATCCAAGGCACATCCCACAAAGCACCGATTTTATCCAATGTTATCCAATGTTCATTTGCATTGGCGAGGCAATTGGCTACGACATGGCCACGCAAAGAGCGCAAAGAGCACAAAGAAATTGTGTGTCCATCCTGTCCAATTTCCCTTTCTATGTTCCTTCCTATTCACTTCGATTCATTGCAGCCTGTCCATCAGTGCTGATCTCTGAGCGCAGTGCAAAACACTCGATGGACTAAGGATAACCAAGATACTACCGGGAAGATTCAACAAAAATACCAAACAAAATGAAAAAAGACAGCATCAATCAGCATCATGAAAGTGTTGTGGACCACCATGTTCATGGAAGACAGGACGTTTGGGAGCCTACAGTTGCGGTTATCTCGAGAGTTTGTGCAAAGTGGTAGGGTACTCATGGAAAATGGAATGACAAACGCTGGAGAAGTCTACTTCCACAAGGTCACAAGGTGCTCTAGTAAGAATAGAATCAGATTTGACATACATAATATTTAGGTTATCTGTCACAATAAATGCCAATCGGATACTGCGCTAAATGTGAGCTGCTCTGTAAGATTCTGTAAGCTGGCCTCTGACATCTCCAAAAACTATAGGATCGATGCACAATCCTGTTGTGAGTTATGAGTGTAATGCTATGAGCACTGCTTGAAACTCAGAACCTTGTCAAATGTGTCAAGCTATCAGCATTTTTCAGCTAAACGGTGCGATCCGTCGTCAACTCTTTCAGCATTCAAATAGCTTGTGAAACTAGGGCAATCGGGACCATAACGGAGTCAAACCGACAACACTTTGGCTGATCGGGTTGACCCTGTTGACAGCGCCCCAAGGCGAATTGATCATGATTCTCCAGCTTTGATAAGCCCCATCAAGTTCCTTGCCAATATGCGGTGAGCTATGCTAAACTGTTTGTCAAGCTAGAAGTGTTATGTGTGAAGAGTGCACCAAATCGGTGACAACTTGGGACAACCTAAAGCTGCCAAGTTGCTCTGGGATGTTCGGATTGGGTGGAAGCCCGTGCTGTTTCCTGGCGAAAAACCACTGCTTCAAAGACCAACCTTGCGGGCAATGACAATTTGATGCAAACCATCCAATTGATCAATATTTCAATATTGAAATATTGATCATGTCAAGACAAATTCAGACATACAGTTATATGATGTGGGGGAAAAAAAAAAACATATGCAGATCTCACTGTGCAAAACATACGAACACCCTTGAGCACCAGTTGGTCCTCCAGTCTTCGTCGGTCATGAAGGCAAATAGCATGGCATCAGAAACCTGGCGGCGGAATTGGAGACCGTCTGTGAGATCTCCGTGAGATCTCCAGTGTCTGGGCCGAGGCAAGTCATGTCTTCGAATGTCTTCGATGCATGAAAATGTTGAAGCTGCTTGGCATTTCCACAGCAAGACTTGATGGGAGCCATGGTGTGGTTTGCAAAAAAAACACGTTTGACCCAGGGATTGAGCTGCCCCAAGCCAGGGCCGGGCATGCTAAGCCTTTCTAGGCATCTGGCCGTATCAAAGATGGACATGAAGGACATGGACACCCCGAGGCAAACTAGACCTCCAGCAACCTTGACCAAACGTCAATCTTGCAAAAAGATGCATGTCATCTCCAAGACTTCAAGAAACACAATTCTCACCTAGAAGACAAAGAAAGATCGGTAGCACCGAAAAGCGGACTGTCCCATGCTCAGCAAAGCAGCAGCAATGACTTTGGGCTGAGCAATGTAGTCCACCGAGGCCACACTGTTGAACTGCTCTAGTTGAGTGACCTTGCCAATTCTCGGAGTTGGAAAAGAGTTGGGGCATAAAATAAACTGACAGAAAAATCCACGGCAACTGAGAAAAGGAATGTGGAGTTTCTATAAGTTTCTATGTTTTGGCAAGTTGTGTGTGTGTAACGGCCTTTATCCTATCGTATGGTTGTGTATGATCGATCCATCTGTCAGATGTTGTCAGTATTTCCATCGGGGTCCAACGCTTCTGCACATTGTTGGTCCATTAGACTCCAACAACCACGTCTCTGTTGCTTTCCCAGGAACCATGAGATAGGTCAAGTATCCGCCAGCAGCAGGAATAGAGATGTTTCCCAGCGTCTAGCAGTGGCAAAAAACTTCAGCTGGGACGGTTCACAAGATGTTTGTACCATATGATGTCAAAACTTCAAAGGAACTCTTCGAAAGTGCTTTCCTTGTGGAACTGCTATTGTCTTGTTGGAACTGCTATGGCCTTGTCTCTGCCTCTCTCTCTCTCTCTCTCTGAAAAAAGAAGAAGAACCTCCAAGTCTTGCCAAGTAGTATCATAATGACTTGTAAATGATTTTATAGTTCCTATATTAATTTCATGAAATTGAATGTATACATTTTACCCGAAGCGAAACAAAATCTTTGGTCTGGCTCCTGGAAGAGAAATGTTGACCCTTCGAGGGCTCCGATCGCAACAAACTCAGTGAGCATGAGCTTTACGGCCCTGCAACAAACATCGAAACTCTACAGACGGCAGCCATGAGGTCACCGACACGTTTCATTGGATTCAACGGTCACGTCTCCTATGAATTCTAATGATGCATCCAGACTGCGGAAAAGCCAAGTCCATTCCAAAAGTACATGCAAACAGATTTCAAGCTTCACGTTGCTGGATCATTCCGGTAAACATGTAGCCTGCGCTTGAAGTGACTCAACACAGCTGTCCCTCTCCTATCTGCACCCTGGCAATAGTTGTCGGAGTTCACAGCAACCATCACATATGCCCCTGGAGCGACAAAAATACAATTCGAGAAATGTAGATTGGAAAATTCAAGACTCAAAGATTCGCAAATGCAAACGAATACTGTACATCTGTACACCTTAGGCGGATTTATCTCTGTGTGACCCTTGTGAAATGCTCATCAAACTTCAGAAATGTTGCCACCATTTGCCAGCCTGAGTTGAGATACCTCAGAACCTGCTCGAAGCAATTCAGGCAACAGCAGCAGCAAGCAGTTGCCGCTTTCACCACACCCTCGGTAGAGGAAGCTGTGTCTCTGGAGTGGCGCCAAGATCGAAAATCAGGGCGAAACTATGGGGATGGGTCAAAACTCTGCTACCTAGTGAACCCCAAAATAGCTGGTAAATGGATGTTCATCCCACTAAAAATGGTATCTATAGGTATTGACCCATACCCATATGACTCAGAGCAATTCTTTGACGTTGCTGAGCTCCACACATTGGTCTGCTCATCTTCGTTCTTTTTGTTCTGCACAAAACTATGGCAGCATTTTTTCACACATCGTTGGCCATGCCACAGCAATCCATTTCACTGTGCTGCAATGTGCTGCATGCTTTCCTGGCAGCCTGCCTTCTAGCTGTGGAAAGGAGAAAAACAGCACATGTCATATGAGGTTTCAAAATTCAGCTGCCTGGTTGTAGAAGAAGGTCACTAGAATGTAGATTATTCTGAAGAAAGCCAGCAGAACCTAGTGGATGATGGTGGCAGAATGCACTTCTCAAGTCCAGTTGCGAAACATCTTTGGACGCGTTTTTTTCATGCAGCTACATGTCATCCACAATGTGGATACATGCGGATCCATGGGATACTTCGGGTGTTGAGTGGAGATACATGTTGAGTTGACATATGTCATATATTAATGTAGTGCTGTGGGCTACCTCGCGGCTACCTATGGCCCCTATGGCCAATGCCTTTGAATCTGAGGCCAGGGCTGCACCGAAGGCCAAACTGCCCAAATGGTAGGTGAGGCCCATGAAGGCCGCGCGGACAATCGGAGCACACGGAACTTTCTTCTTGCCGTTGTTCAATGGGGCGTTGTACCAAATGAGGACAGTATACGCAACAACCTCAGGGCTTAGTGGCACTTAGTGACTTAGTGGCTCAGTCTGACTGGACCTGGAGACTCTCGTAACCTTCCCAAGACTGACGACTGGAAAAATTGCTTGCCATATCATAGCCAAAATCTAGGCCCTGGAGTTTCCGAACAGAACTGGAAAAGGAGTTTGTAAGGACCCAAAAGCTATTTATAGTTTACAAATGCTTGCAGTAGAAGGATGTAAAAAGCATGTTTTCTCTGCCTACCAAAAAATGTGCATGAGTCTCTCTTGATGTTTTTTTGCTGAGAATTCCACAAATTGTTGGAGTGCCAGGAGCAACCTTGCACTCTTGAACTGGCAAAAAAGTGGTGAAAGACACAGAAACTCAGCAAGTCACAGGTCACAAGTCATCACAGATCCACAATTGCAAAAAAAAACTGTAAAATGATGTAAAATGGATCAATTCCAAGCGACTCGTAGATCCATGCGCATGCAAAAATGTAGTAGAGAATGTACAACCTGTGAAGAAACTGCGCAGATTGGAGCTATCTGAACAGCAAAAACGACATCGTGAGGCTGCAGGCATGACTGCGGGCTGCGGGCATGCTGCCGGCTAAGGCTAACAGGACGGTTTGGATGTGACAAAGCGAGTTCAAGGCGCTCCATCTGCTCCAAGCCACCGTTCGTCCTGCGTGTGCTCGAAGGTCCTCGCAAGGCCCTGTGGGACCCAGCTGTGGATGTCGTACGCTGCCTCAACCAATGTTTGAGCATCCTCAACATTCCTCAACGTAATTTATATGCAATCTTCTGATGCATTGATTTGTGAAGCCTCTCATTAAAAATCAAGGCAAATTGAATAGAGTCTCCTAAACGAATCCAATGTGTGAAAACCGTGTGAAAGTGATAGCCATCAACAAAGGCAATTTTCGAGACAAGCGTCCACTTCACCCACTGAGACAACCAGGGCAAGACCCCACCTAGGTGGAAGGCTGCGCTGATCTTAGGCAAATATTGCAGTCAAATGCAATCAGCTGCGCTCAGGTGGAAGCACAGCAATACCACCTGTTTGAAACAAAAGAACTAAAACCTTCATGTGTATGTCTGTCTTGCCCATGTGAGCGTCTGCGTGTATGTATACAATATATACATATATATGTATTCTATATATTTACACATACATGACTGTATATGAGTAGCGGACAAAATTATTATTTATTAAATTGAATGCCATGCACAAATTAGGGGGTCGTCCCCTATCAGTTGTGAGGAAATGAAGTGCTCCCCGAGGTATCAAAAATAGGGTATCGGTATAGGGTCGTCCCCTGTCGGTTATGAAGGTTTTGTGCAACTTCAGAAAGGCCAACGCGAAGCAAAACTAAATTGGTATTACAATATATTACAATGATTTTGTCGGTTACCCATATATACCCATATAATATTCATGTGAATGTGCATTCGTGTATACTCTATACATCTCTATACCTGTATGATCCTGTATGTGCCTGTGTATTTGTGTATTTGTGTGTGTGTATCTGTCTGCATGTGCGTCTGAGGGTGTATCTGGTGTGTCTTTGCGTATCAGTGTCAAGGTGTATGATATAGTATGTATGCAAGTATGCATTCAATTGCATTCATGTACGCATTGAATTCTGTGCGTCTCTTCATCTACCTGCCCAGCTAGGCAGCTGCCAGTCTGCCTGCACATCTGTCATCTAAGTATCTATCCTGTCTGTTGGTTGGATCTTCCATCCGCCAATCCATCCATCAACATCTATACCGTTAAAAACAAAGTTAGAATGCGGTTTTGGCTTCGCGTGATGGTGGCCCGTTTGGCCCCCCCCCCACGGCAGTCGCATTCTAACTGAGGAAACACCTGTAAATATGCAGAAACTCAGTTAGAATGCGGCGCCAAAATTGGTAAGAAAATGTAAGTTTTGACTGGTATTTTACAGGCGAAATACAGTTAGAATGCCTCCTCCTTTTCTTCTATATTGTTCCTTGCCCTTCCTTTTTTTCTATGTATTTTTCATTGATCTATATCTGCTGTAGTTTCCGGGGGGCATTTTATCTGTTGTTTTTTCCACTGTAACCACTTTTTTGACCTGCAGGGAACCTGGAGTGCCCTTGTCTCTTTTCCGATCTTATCCGCTTCCCTTTCCTTGTCCTTTTGTGTCTATAATGTTCCTTTCCCTTCCTTTTCTCCTATGTCTGTATTCATTGATCTATATGTGCTGTAGTTTCCGTAGGCATTCTATCTGTTGTTTTTCCCACTGTAGCCATATGTTTCTGACCCGCAGGGAACCTGGAGTGCCCTTGTCTCTTTTCCGATCTTATCCTCTCCCCTTTTCTCCTCCTTTTCTTCTATATTGTTCCTTACCCTTCCCTTTCTTGTATGTCTTTTTCATTGACCTATATCTGCTGTAGTTTCCGGGGAGGCATTCTATCTGTTGTTTTCCCCACTGTAGCCATATGTTTCTGACCCGCAGGGAACCTGGAGTGCCCTTGTCTCTTTTCCGATCTTATCCTCTTCCCTTTTCTCCTCCTTTTCTTCTATATTGTTCCTTACCCTTCCTTTTCTTCTATGTCTTTTTCATTGATCTATATCTGCTGTAGTTTCCGGGGAGGCATTCTATCTGTTGTTTTCCCACTGTAGCCATATGTTTCTGACCCGCAGGGAACCTGGAGTGCCCTTGTCTCTTTTCCGACCTTATCCTCTTCCCTTTTCTCCTCCTTTTCTTCTATATTGTTCCTTACCCTTCCTTTTCTTCTATGTTTTTTTCATTGATCTATATCTGCTGTAGTTTCCGGGGAGGCATTCTATCTGTTGTTTTCCCCACTGTAGCCATATGTTTCTGACCCGCAGGGAACCTGGAGTGCCCTTGTCTCTTTTCCGATCTTATCCTCTTCCCTTTTCTCCTCCTTTTCTTCTATATTGTTCCTTACCCTTCCTTTTCTTCTATGTCTTTTTCATTGATCTATATCTGCTGTAGTTTCCGGGGAGGCATTCTATCTGTTGTTTTTCCCACTGTAGCCATATGTTTCTGACCCGCAGGGAACCTGGAGTGCCCTTGTCTCTTTTCCGACCTTATCCTCTTCCCTTTTCTCCTCCTTTTCTTCTATATTGTTCCTTACCCTTCCTTTTCTTCTATGTCTTTTTCATTGATCTATATCTGCTGTAGTTTCCGGGGAGGCATTCTATCTGTTGTTTTCCCCACTGTAGCCATATGTTTCTGACCCGCAGGGAACCTGGAGTGCCCTTGTCTCTTTTCCGACCTTATCCTCTTCCCTTTTCTCCTCCTTTTCTTCTATATTGTTCCTTACCCTTCCTTTTCTTCTATGTCTTTTTCATTGATCTATATCTGCTGTAGTTTCCGGGGAGGCATTCTATCTGTTGTTTTCCCCACTGTAGCCATATGTTTCTGACCCGCAGGGAACCTGGAGTGCCCTTGTCTCTTTTCCGACCTTATCCTCTTCCCTTTTCTCCTCCTTTTCTTCTATATTGTTCCTTACCCTTCCTTTTCTTCTATGTCTTTTTCATTGATCTATATCTGCTGTAGTTTCCGGGGAGGCATTCTATCTGTTGTTTTCCCCACTGTAGCCATATGTTTCTGACCCGCAGGGAACCTGGAGTGCCCTTGTCTCTTTTCCGATCTTATCCTCTTCCCTTTTCTCCTCCTTTTCTTCTATATTGTTCCTTACCTCTTCCTTTTCCTATGTTTTTTTCATTGATCTATATCTGCTGTAGTTTCCCATTCTATCTGTTGTTTTTCCCACTGTAGCCAGATGTTTCTGACCCGCAGGGAACCTGGAGTGCCCTTGTCTCTTTTCCGATCTTATCCTCTTCCCTTTTCTCCTCCTTTTCTTTTATATTGTTCCTTACCCTTCCTTTTCTTCTATGTCTTTTTCATTGATCTATATCTGCTGTAGTTTCCGGGGAGGCATTCTATCTGTTGTTTGCCCCACTGTAGCCATATGTTTCTGACCCGCAGGGAACCTGGAGTGCCCTTGTCTCTTTTCCGACCTTATCCTCTTCCCTTTTCTCCTCCTTTTCTTCTATATTGTTCCTTACCCTTCCTTTTCTTCTATGTCTTTTTCATTGATCTATATCTGCTGTAGTTTCCGGGGAGGCATTCTATCTGTTGTTTTCCCCGCTGTGGCCATATGTTTCTGACCCGCAGGGAACCTGGAGTTGCCCTTGTCTCTTTTCCGACCTTATCCTCTTCCCTTTTCTCCTCCTTTTCTTCTATATTGTTCCTTACCCTTCCTTTTCTTCTATGTCTTTTTCATTGATCTATATCTGCTGTAGTTTCCGGGGAGGCATTCTATCTGTTGTTTTCATTTGTTTTCCCCACTGTAGCCATATGTTTCTGACCCGCAGGGAACCTGGAGTGCCCTTGTCTCTTTTCCGATCTTATCCTATTCCCTTTTCTCCTCCTTTTCTTCTATATTGTTCCTTACCCTTCCTGTTCTTCTATGTCTTTTTCATTGATCTATATCTGCTGTAGTTTCCGGGGAGGCATTCTATCTGTTGTTTTCCCCGCTGTAGCCATATGTTTCTGACCCGCAGGGAACCTGGAGTGCCCGTGTCTCTTTTCCGACCTTATCCTCTTCCCTTTTCTCCTCCTTTTCTTCTATATTGTTCCTTACCCTTCCTTTTCTTCTATGTCTTTTCATTGATCTATATCTGCTGTAGTTTCCGGGGAGGCATTCTATCTGTTGTTTTCCCTGCTGTAGCCATATGTTTCTGGCCCGCAGGGAACCTGGAGTGCCCTGTCTCTTTTCCGATCTTATCCTCTTCCCTTTTCTCCTCCTTTTCTTCTATATTGTTCCTTACCCTTCCTTTTCTTCTATGTCTTTTTCATTGATCTTATATCTGCTGTAGTTTCTGGGGAGGCATTCTATCTGTTGTTTTCCCCATTGTAGCCATATGTTTCTGACCCGCAGGGAACCTGGAGTGCCCTTGTCTCTTTTCCGATCTTATCCTCTTCCCTTTTCTCCTCCTTTTCTTCTATATTGTTCCTTACCCTTCCTTTTCTTATGTCTTTTTCATTGATCTATATCTGCTGTAGTTTCCGGGGAGGCATTCTATCTGTTGTTTTCCCCGCTGTAGCCATATGTTTCTGACCCGCAGGGAACCTGGAGTGCCCTTGTCTCTTTTTCGACCTTATCCTCTTCCCTTTTCTCCTCCTTTTCTTTTATATTGTTCCTTACCCTTCCTTTTCTTCTATGTCTTTTTCATTGATCTATATCTGCTGTTGTTTCCGGGGAAGCATTCTATCTGTTGTTTTCCCCACTGTAGCCACATGTTTCTGAACTGCAGGGAACCTGGAGTGCCCTTGTCTCTTTTCCGATCTTATCCTCTTCCCTTTTCTCCTCATTTTCTCCTATATTGTTCCTTACCCTTCCTTTTCTTCTATGTCTTTTTCATTGATCTATATCTGCTGTAGCCTTATCCTCTTCCCTTTTCTCCTTCTTTTCTTCTATATTGTTCCTTACCCTTCCTGTTCTTCTATGTCTTTTTCATTGATCTATATCTGCTGTAGTTTCCGGGGAGGCATTCTATCTGTTGTTTTCACCACTGTAGCCATATGTTTCTGACCCGCAGGGAACCTGGAGTGCCCTTGTCTCTTTTCCGATCTTATCCTCTTCCCTTTTCTCCTCCTTTTCTTCTATATTGTTCCTTACCCTTCCTTTTCTTCTATGTCTTTTTCATTGATCTATATCTGCTGTAGTTTCCGGGGAAGCATTCTATCTGCTGTTTTCCCCACTGTAGCCATATGTTTCTGACCCGCAGGGAACCTGGAGTGCCCTTGTCTCTTTTCCGATTTTATCCTCTTCCCTTTTATCCTCCTTTTCTTCTATATTGTTCCTTACCCTTCCTTTTCTTCTATGTCTTTTTCATTGATCTATATCTGCTGTAGTTTCCGGGGAGGCATTCTATCTGTTGTTTTCCCCGCTGTAGCCATATGTTTCTGAC